CTGTCTTTTTTGGACCAAAAATCATCAGTTTTTTAGTTTTTAAAAATATATCATTTAAAATGAAATGTTGGTTCGTTTGTAATTTTAGTAATCTTTTTAAGTGGTTTTAATTTCRATTCTTTCTTCTCTTTCCTCTTATATTTGGGAGTAAAGTTTTGGAAGAAACTTTATCAATATTTCCTTTTATTTTCTCTCATGATTTTTTTTTTTGAACCCCTCACTCGGACCAAGAGGTTGGGACTATGAGCTTGCTTAGCAATAGGGGTGTACATAAACCGCCAAACTGCTTAACCCGTTAACAACTCAATTAAATCTTACCCATAAACCGTCAAATCACCACATCATCAAACCATTAAACTGTCAATTAAGATGGTTGAAATTGAGTTGGTCTAGTTCAACTTAACCCGACCCAACCACCAAAGTAAAAAGGATACATAAATTAAAGACACAAAAATATAAATATAAATACAAGACAAAAATTAAATGCAATAATGTAAATGCCAAAAGTAACATGGGAACAAGTTTCACTTATGATCAAGTTACACTTGTAATAAGCGTTCATATATGAGCAAGGCAATGATTAATATCATGATCATTGTTTTATAGTGTGAATGTGTTCATGATCGGCTATGAACAGATGGAGACTAATTTTTATGTCTTGGTTCACTTATGAATGGAGTTCACTCACTAATAGGGGTGTAAATGAGTCGATCTCGAACATAAAATAAAGTTAGTTTAGCTTAACAATTCGATCTCCATAACATCAGTATTCAACTCTCGATTAAACTTTATGAGTGAGTCGAACCGAGCCGAGCTATTCGAGCGTGCAATTTTTCGAACCAAACATATTTATACGTTGACAAATTATATAATCAAAATATACAAATCCCAAGCGTGAGTAAATAAACAAGATAAAGGATCTCGAATTCGAGCATCTAGATCGAGTTCGAACATTGAAAAAATATTGGAGCTCGAGCTTGAGCCAAACTTTGAAAACGTTAATCGAGATCGAGCCTGATATTATTTTCTCATATCGGACTTGAAAAACTACTATTCGACTCGACTCGACTCGGCTCGTTTATACCCATACTCATTACTCACCAACACAATTCATTTATGAACAAGTTTCAGTAACGAACACATTCATTGTTCGCCAATGACCATAGTTTCACTTATGAACTTGTTCAAGCTGAATCTTCTCTTTCTCTCTCGATAAACTTGTTTATTGAGAAACTAGAAAGAAAAGTTATAATTATCATCCCTAAAATCATGCAACTCTTTTTTTATAGCATCTCGTTAATTAAAAAACAACTAAAAACTGAAATTACTTTTATACCCTTAATAGTTGACTCCAACATATTAATTAACAAGTGCTAGCAATGGTTTTTTAGTGATGCAAATGTGTTTGTATAGTTAACATCATTTGTCTCGTTAATAAAAGATACCCCCTATATCTATCTATCTATAGACTATACACACACACACACACATATATATATATATATATATGTGTGTATATGGCATGAGTTTCACGTGAGACCAAGGGTTTTTCGTGAGACCCGTAAGACCAATTTATGTTTATTGATCAACTTTATAAGCTAATGCTCTAATGGTCTAAAGTTTTTGGTAAACAACCCCTAAATTACGTTATTCATCTATGTGGTTTGTTAAAAATTGTAATTTTCATTCTTGTGATTTAAAATTTACGGTTTTTATTCCCATAGTTTATAACTCATTGTTATTTTCGTTCTTATGATTTACAAGTTATTGTTGTTTCAGTCTTTGTAGTTTACAATTATTTACTATTTTGGTCCCTTGTACTTAGATGTAAGAATTAGTCCAGAGATAAAAATAACAATATATTATAAAACATAGGGACAAAAATTACAATTACTAAATCACATGGACGAAAATAAAAATTATCAACAAACCACGGCGACGAAAATAGTAATTTTTAAAATCATTCGTTTTATAAAATTCCGTCTATGAAACTTCAAACAGTCTCAATGCTATGATCCTCGATCCTTGTTTTAAAAATATACTTCCGTTTTTCAAATATTTGATTATTTGTTTATTAATTTTTCTTTCATACGTGTTTTTTTGCAGTACTTGTTGATTCTCATTAATCATTGCAATGTTAGAAATTGAATATTGTCGTTGTTCCTCTTCAAATATCTCGTATTCGATTTTTACAAGGTCATCATGAGATAACCTTTTATAATTATAAAAGACGAGTACATGTTCTTATTTTATATAATAAATGTTTAAGCATTTTATACATCGAATTTCACCTACACGCTTGCAATATCGTATTTGATTTATTGAAAGGATCAGATAGTTATTTTACTGGTATTTGAACGGTTAGTGGACCGTCTCAACACGTTTTGATATGTTAAGAAATTGTTCATTTTAACTTGTTATCCAACTTGTCTTGTTTGCATATTATGTCATATATAGCCATGTTTATAATTATACAGGTTAAAAACATATGTGATTGTTATACGGCGTCTATTTTGAGAAAACCTTCATAAGAAGGATGGAAAACGAGGGTTTGCTGACAGTGAGACTCGAGAGGAAGAAAAAAGGAGCAACATGGGACGAAGGGAAGGATGTCATGATGTGGTGGTGACGTTGGTGAGGGGTGTTATCGGTGTAGAGTATCGTTAGGGGGCAATGACGGAGCCATACAGTAGCGAGCGGGGGCATCTGCTCATCCTAAAAGCTTTTTAACACAAATTTATTCTTTATACGAATGAGAACCCTTGAAATTAAATGTATTAGAAGGAAAATAATATTTTATGAAAGATATTAAATATTTTAATACTATAATTTAAAATATAATATACAAAATGTAGAAACTGTTGAAAATAAATATAAATTTCATTTAGAGAATTTATTTTCTAAATCCCTATCTTGTAAAGAATCTATCAAATATGCTTTAATAATCTCAATTTTTCTTCCATTTAAATTGGAGGGAAAAAATGCATTTTTTTCCGCTCTTTGTCACATCTAATTTTCCATTAAACATGGAACAAATTATTTTTGAGCAATGCTCTACACATTTTTTTTTATATTAGAATCATGTATTAAAAATGTAAAAAATAAATATTGATAATGCGTAAGTGAAAAATAAATTAATAAACAAATATACATTTAATCATATATGAGAATAAGGGCCCGTTTACTAAATACTTACCCAGTAAGTGTGGATCGGATAACTTTCCTCACCTGATGCACATGACAAGGGCTGAAAATCTTACCTGGTAAGAGCAATGATATGAATAAAAAGTATTACCTTGTAAGTGATGGTGATTACTGTCACCCGAGTAAGCGTTTACAAGGTAAATTGTTGTATACGATACCGTTTTAATATACTGTAATCTTATATGGTAAAATAAATTATAGGGTTGACTTCTGCCGGTAAACATTTATCGGGTAAGTATTTGGTAAACGATCTCTTTTTCATCTAACAAATATAACATTAATTTAAAAATTGAACGACATCGTTAACATTCTTTTAAACTAATGGTTTAAGGGTTGTTTGTTTACCTTTTAATAGTTCCATTAAGAGACAATATTAGAATCGTTAAGAGGTAAATTTTGTTTGACAAAAAAATGTCTGGCTTTTAATGATTCTTTCTGAATGATTTTGTATCATGAAACTTCCTTAACCATTCACCGCCCTAATTTAATTATAGATAATTATCAAACAATTATATTTTATTTTATATTATATCATGAAAATATTTTAATCATTTTAACCATTTATTCATTATACATTAATTTAAACAATTCAGTAAGAGACAAACAACCCTTGTTTGAATTTTTTACGGACTTAGATTTTGTGACAGCGCCTCTTGGAAATAACATCAAAAAAAGCGCACCTCTTCGGTCTCTTTTCAAAAGTTAGGGCTCTTAGCGTTTTTGAGCTCCAAAAACCCCAACGCAAAATTTTTGCTTCGTCTTCGGCGCATCAGTTCAGAAAAGCTTTCTTCCCCACAACCTCCATCTTCCAACAAAGAAACAATGACGAGCGATGCAGATATGAGTAGCTGGACCGATCTTTTACATTCATCTTCGAAGCTCGTCGAACAAGCTGCTCCTTCTGCTCAGTTTCCGTCTCTCCAGGTTATTTTTGTTCTTGCGATTTTTGCTCGCACCATATGATTATCATATCTCACAATGCGTAGTTTTTATTTGTATGCCTTGTTCTTGATTTGATATATTTAGAGAAATTTGGACCAATTAGAAGCGTTGTCAAAGAAGCTCAAGTCGAAAACGCTAAGAACTGAGGCTCCCTCTCAATCAATTGCTGCTACAAGGTAGATTTTGATAATTTCTTTTAATTATGTGTACGTTTTATAAAATTAGAAGTGCTACATATCTGTTACACTGGAATTTATTTTCTATAGAGCACCGTGCATGAAATTTTTATTTGTGAACTTAAAACTATAGTTGTATCCTATCTTGCTCGGCTTTGTAGGGAATTCTTAAAATTTTGGTGTATAATATACAAGTTTTTGGTGTTTGTGGATGTAAACTACAGCTTTGTCATTGAGAGTATCTTGTTCGATCGGTAATAAACTCTTAATGTTTTGGTGTATAGAAAACTCAACTAGAAAAACAATGCAAGTTTTCACCCGAATTAAAATACAAGTGCATTGTATCTTTTTGTGTTGTTTAGGTTTGAAAATCCAAAATTTACTTGTGATTATGAAGCTAAAATGTGTATCTTAGTAACCGAGTATTCTTAAGTATGATGGTCCTGTTTTCTATGTTGCATCAAATGTGTTTTTACATTAAAAAGCAAGTATGATGTGAAGGTACTAGGTGTGAAGGAGATTATTTACGGTTGCTGGTCCCGCGGTCCCGCACTAGCACTGAAGTTTATTATTGTTGCTTGATGTTGAAAATTCTAGCATATGAGAAGCAGTGCCTGTTAAAATATGTAATTTGTTGACTAACATGCAGGCTGCTTGCACGTGAGGGGATAAATGCTGAGCAATTGGCACGAGATCTTAAATCTTTTGAATTGAAGGTAATAGTTAATTAATTTGATGCATTCCAGGTAAATTTAATTTTCTTGATCACATATACTATCGTATGCGTAGTTGGTTTCAGAAGATAAATTACATGATACCAGTCTGGGAAACATTGTGTATGAAAAGTATCACCAACAACCATTGTAACGCTAGAGAAGCATCATGGTGGCCGCTTGCACACAATAAGCAATGAACCTCGTTTTAGATGGTCCAGGAGTCTTATGATATATTTCAATATTCACTATGAAGTTGTTAAAGGCGCAAGGTGCACTTAGGCGCAAAGGCTGGCGCCTAGGCCTCACGAATGCAAGGCGCATCGTATAAAATAATATATATACATCTATATACACACATAGTAATACACAACTCAACAATCCATTATATGAAAAGTAGTAATATCAACTCAAATACCATTATATAAAACAGTTCAATTTCAATTTCCAAAAGTCAGCCAAAAAAATAATAATATACTTACTTGATACTTGTATAGAAGAGAGCCCTTAGTGAGGAAGAAGTATAAGCCTCCAAAGCAGCAACCAGAAATCCAGATTCCAGAAGAGGGCCGTGAGGAAGAAGTATAAGGTTTAAAGTCGTGAGGGAGAGTACAATGTATGGGACATATGTATGGGAGGTATTTGTATGAGATGATTGATTAGAATTGAATAGACTTATCTAATAACTCTTTTTTGTAGAAGTCTAGGAGGTTAAAAAACATAAAAGTTGTAGAAGTCTAAGAGAGAAGATTTTTTTTTGAATTTAGGGCAGATCTTTATTAAGGTGCGCCTCAGCCCATTTTGCGCCTCAGCCAAGGCGCTGCGCCTTGGTGCGCCTCAGTAACTCGCCTCGCCTTGGCATGGAAAAAGCCCAGTCCTTTGCACCTTATGCGCCTCAGCGCCTAGGCGCGCTTTTCACAACTGTTCTGTTTCTACCTTGTCTATCCAATGTGTTGATGAGTCGTATTGTAGTTAAGGATGCTATAGGCCTCAAAGGTGGCGATTTGCATTTTGCTTCAACAATAAGATTCAATCAAGACTTCAAGTTATATTTTTTCATTGTTATTTGGAAATTTCAGTTTATTGTATGAGGTTTCTACATTCTTTAGTTTTTCAATGCTTGATTTTGTTGTTTTGAGAATTCCATCTGGTAATTTTATTCTTGTGCCATTGTATATTCTTACTGACTTAAATCTTGTAACTCTATTTGTAGACAACTTTTGAGGATGTTTTCCCAGCTGAGGCTACAAGCGTTGAGGAATATTTGCAGCAGGTACTTAACCTTCTAGTGCTGCAACTAAAATAACTAAATATGTAATATGGTATTTTGTCGTTCATGTGGCAAATAGTAGAGTTCCATGGTAAACTATGTCTTTCATCCCTATAATCTTATATGACCAGAAATTGTCCTTGACCTCTTTTTCACTCCCAAAAATCCAAAATTCTTTGTTCTTTTTCACCTTTCATATAAAATATCCTTTTCTTACTTTACAAACCTAGTATGGGTTGTTTTCAAGCTTAATCAGCTTTACTTATGTGACTATTGCTATACAAGTAGATCTGTTGTCTTACAAAACTTGAGGTAGTGTTGTCATTGTTAGTGCAATATTGGTGGTTGGTAATTTTTTATTGACATCAAACTTCATGTCCTTTTTGTATAATGTTCGTATATTTGCATGAGGATCATTAGTTGCTGCATACGAGTGTTTGTGTTTGAGGATTACTTATTGTGTGTATTTGTATATTAAAAGTTTCTGTTGTATCTTCTTAGAGTTTTTTATGCTGTATTTTCCTTTGATTGTTGGTTTTGTATAAAAAAGCCAAAATGATCTATATGCATCTTGTAATGATATCAGTAACTTATTATTTGGCTTCTTCTCCGCTACAAAGTAATTAGCATATGGTCGTGAATAATATATACATGATCTTTATGTCATAAATTCATATTCTCAGGTTCATGAAATGGCAATGGTCTCAGCTGTTCAGGAAGCTCAGAAAGATAATCTCAGAAATTTTGGTGACTACATGATGACAGTTTTAGAGGTTAGTTGCTACATGGAGTCCAAGTTACTCTTCAGCTCTGCCATTTTGATATTTAATATGTTGTCTCTTTATGCTGTTAATTTCAATCACTTGGCCTTTTCATTCATCATCAATGGATAGACATGACAAATTGGACCCATGGGAGTTGCTTGTTTAGCATTCTCTCAATGTATTTCTCAATATACTATAACAATGATGAGCGATCATTAATCCATGAATTAAATTTTGTCATGGTTTAGTTTACAAACGTTATGATGGACCACACTAAAAAGTAAAAACCAGCGGAAAAAATCTGCTCAATTTTGTTGTGTAAACAAGAACATATCCAAGTTGTAATTGAAAAGTATGAGGCTGAAAATTGCGCCGAGAGAATGAGAAGATGGCCGCTAACTATATTGCTTTGATTCATTTGCGAAGCATAATGCAATACACTATCCATGAAGAAAGTTATTGCAGATGCATTTTTCTTTTTTATCTTTTAAGAGGGAAAAGATAACATATTTATAGGAAATATCATTTAGCCTACAAGAATTAGTGACTTGGAAAATGCAGGTGTTTCCAAACAGTTTTAAAAGAACCATGCATGTCACAAATAAATGAGTTATAATGTCAATAAACATGGAAATAACTATATCAAGAGCAGCTTTATAGCTAAAAGTAAGGCGTGCCAAGCCTGAAAAGTTCTTCAAAGGCTTGTAATCGAATTCTACTTTGCCTTGTAATGCCTCCGCTTTATCGGTGACTTCGTTTGGTTGAACATTCTTACCATCTTCCTCGACTTGCATATTAGAAACTTCAAAAGCATTTTCTTCAGAATCTTGTTCACAACTCCTAGAAGTACTTTCTTTAGAGAGCACAATTTTAAAAATTGAAACTGAGTTTACAATATCTTCTTCACGAACTTATAACTTTTCTATGTTGCTTATCCACTTGCTCTCTCCAGTGAGTTGAAAGTCACCTCTCTGCTTAATCTTTCAGATTTTCTTTCCAAAGCTCTCCTTGCTGCCGTTACTTTTATAATATGGTAAAAACCACCTCATATAAAAAAGCTTACCACAAGAGTGAATGACTTCATGCACAGTTTAGAACTATCACTCTGTGTAGTTCTTTGCATATCTTAGCTGCATTGATTCCTGGTGATGTTTCAATTACTTAATAATTGGTACCCTGCACCCTAACCTTCTGTGAGGTGAGACTGCATCCCTTTTTGGAGTGCCCTAGTGGGTGATGTTAAATAGACCTGATTTGAGAATGTATTATGATACAAATATATAATTTATACAATCCAGCCACTTTTAGCATTTAATAATAAATCAAAGAAGACCTTTTACAAAACGGATGAAATCAATGATCACTAGCAAGCCCCCTTTCTGCGTCTACATGTGTTTGGTTCTCTCCCACACATGACAAATGCACACAAATTAGGACTGCCAATGAGGGAATGTCTTGCAGTGGGCTGGAAAAGGAGAACTTTAGGAGCATGATTGAATGACCAACTGAACTTGGTGCATGTTGTGTCATGCAGTTTGTAACTAGCAAGAGGCTGTATGCTTGTCCTATGTATTGATATTGTTGTATGCACACCCTGTTTGTCATGGCTCTCTCATCTTTGCATGGATTAGAGATGGAAGTCTCTGTAAGTATCACTCTCCTTATTGGTTTATGATACCTTTGGGTGGTACTCTCTCTTGGAACATTAGCGTACCTTTTTAAAGCTAAGAGCCATCCAAGAGCATAAATAACCGGTTATATTAGTTACAATGTTGTTCTTTTAGAAGTAAGCTGCATTTAAGAAACAGAGAACATATGTGAGTGTTGACTTATGAAGGTAATCTGATATATGTTCTTGTGCCTTGCGTGTTTAATTTTAAATGCTTTCTGTTTCTTTCTGTCAGGATGACTGGCAAAAGGAAAAAAGGGATTTCCTTCACAGTCTGAGCCGCATTTCCACGTTACCAAGGACCAATGTAGATGATTCAGGGTTCGGGGCTAACCGTTCAGGGCCAATATTATCTCTAACATCTAGTCCTCATGTTTCATCCGGTCCTTCTAGCATGGAACTTGTGCCAATAGCTGATAAGCCAGCCATTGATAAAAAGGCTGCAGCATATGCTGAGGTTGTGAGGAATCTCAATGATGCCAGACAGCGTGGTTTAGCATATAAAGTAAGTTCATGAAGAAATTGTTTTATGTCCATCTTCTCGCTTCATTGATGATAAAGCTTCAGTGGTCTAATTTCATTTACGGATTTCAATAGAAGCTTAATGTGAAAGGGGCTAGAGCATTAATTGATAAATTTTATACTGCGTTTTTTTGTGTTCCTTTTAGCAAATATTGTTGCATGGACATGTCATTTTGTCTATTGTGTCTTTCTTTGTCAACTTAACCTTATTCTACCACTGAAATGTCTAGAGCAGTATGGACAGTGCTTGCATCAGATTATGTCTATCAATCACTTAATCTTGCTATATGTGTAATTTATTTCATTTGCCAGCCAGCTACTGCTTTCAAGAGTGCATATGAAAGTCTTGGCCTGGATTCTTCTGGTGGTAAATCTGTTACCATGAACAAGATTTGGCATCTAATTCAGGTACATGCCTACTGTGCAATCTTGTTCACATGAGTTGCAACTTGCAAGTGCAAAATTATGCAGCTGTTTGTATAATGGCATTAGGTATCCTTTCCTGGATGAGAATGTAATGCAATCATCTTTTTCCGAATTATGTTATTCAGACTTTGATGGGTGAGAATTCAAGTGTTCAGAGAAATGTTTCAAAGAAAATGTTGCTAATAATTGGTGCAAGGCGTCATTTAGAGTGGGGTCATGAGAAGTATATCGTGGAAATGATACAAAGTCATCCCGCACAGGTAATAAAAGACATTTTTCTGTTTGCAATCTTTAGCTATTAGTATTTTTATTTGATTTTGGACTATCCATATGCAAATTGTATTATGTTCATATCTTGTTTGGCGATGAAAACAGGAGGCTTCTTTGTTCTTCCACACATGCACATAAAATGCTTTCTTGCTGCCATACACTATACAGTTGCTTTTCATGCATAAAGCTTCATTTACCGGTCTTATGTTCATCTTACTGTAGGCTGCTCTTGGTGGAGTGGTTGGAAATTTGCAGCGGATCCATGCTTTTCTTAGGGTATGTAGTCACTTCTTACTTTAAATAAGCATATTATACTATGTTTCAACCTTTGATTTATCAGGAGGAACATGTGTTCGTTGCTTTACTGCCTTATTTCTTTTGTGCAGATCCGTTTGAGAGACTACGGGGTTCTTGATTTTGATGCTGGCGATGCTCGTAGGCAGCCTCCTGTAGATACCACGTGGCAGCAGGTATTCAACTCTTAACTTTGATATCAAGCATTTATTTTGACCCACCTAATACCTATTATCTACATACCTCCATTATTTCAATGATGCACATTGACCATCCCATGTTAAGATTTGTTTCTTGGGTTATACTTCATACTTCATCCTTGTAGGATGTCTGTCTTATGATGGCATTGATGCAGTGGATGACATCTGTTTTCATCTACCCTCAACACTCGAGTCATGTCCCTCTTCCTCTGCGAAATTTTGCTATCTGGTTTTCAAAGGAAAGGAAAGAGTGTGTATATATATATATATATAGACGGCAAATCAAATGCAAACCTTTTAAATGTTACAAACCTGGAAAGCAATATTTATGGAAATGATAAAGGTTATTATGATTTGACTATTTATGGAGATGACTAGAGTTCAGTAATTATGATCACCGTTTTAAATTAGGAAACAATCAATATATTTATGAAACCAAATATTCGTTAGACTAGATGGATGGTTGAGATTTGATTGGGACTCTCTCTCTCTGTATATATATATATATATATATATATATATATAATTTGTGGAACTACTGTGAAAGCCACAACTCATTCCTGCCCTTGTAGCCTGAAGTACCACCCAGTGGAGCATACATATCCATAGGAATTTGGTTTCCGTAAGTACCATTGATCATCATTCCAAGCTGTAGGGAGAGAGCTTGGTTGCAAGTGAGGATTTTTGTCATGTGTAGTAAGAGATGAAAATGTGAGTTTCGTATGTGCATTCTGAAAACAAGTTTGAGTCGGTTATGGAACTTGCTGGCTCTTTTGTCACATAGTGACAAGAGGAGCAACATGGAGTTGACAGTTAAACTTGAGCAACACAATTTTTTGTGTTATGCCTAATAATAGCAGATTGGAATAACACAGCTTGTTATCTTCTGCTTAAACAGATCTATTTCTGCTTGAGAACTGGGTACTATGACGATGCGAGGGATGTTGCTTCACGCTCCCGTGTTTCTCACCAATTTGCTTCACAGGTACTGATCTTCTCGTTATCTTTGTGCAAACTTTTTAATGAACCTTAGTCACCTCGTTATTTTGACAGCTTGCAGAATGGATCACAAATGGAGGCATGGTATCTGTGGAGACTGCTTCTATTGCTGCAGAGGAATGTGAAAAAATGTTAAGGATGGGTGATCGAGTGGGCCGAGGTACATTTGACAAGAAAAAATTACTTTTATATGCACTCATATCTGGCTCCCGTAGGCAGATTGATCGCCTGCTCAGAGAGCAGCCTACGCTTTTCAATACAATAGAGGATTTTCTGTGGTTCAAGCTGTGTGCTGTTCGAGACTGTTCTGGTGGATCGAGTTCTGTTGTTTTAAACGAGGGACTATCACCCTACAGCTTGGATGATTTACAGGCTTATCTAAACAAATTCGAACCATCTTATTATACAAAGAACGGGAAGGACCCTCTAGTATTTCCATATGTGTTGCTGTTGAGCATACAGTTGGTTCCAGCCATCCTATATTTGTCCAAGGATATTGGAGACGAGGGATATAACATAGATGCTGCCCATATAGCAATTGTGATGGCAGACCACGGCGTCCTCTCTGACATTGCCGGGGCAGGTCATAAATTAGGGGTGATGGATGCTTTTGCTGAGGCAGCTAGCATCATTAGACAGTATGGTTCACTGTATTTGCGACACAATAATCTTTCCATGGCATTGGAGTACTATGCACAAGCTGCTGCTACAGTGGGTGGTGGACAGTTATCTTGGTCTGGGAGAGGAAATGTAGATCAGCAACGGCAACGGACATTCATGATGCAGCAGCTCCTCATGGAGCTATTGCTACGTGATGGTGGGATTCTTTTGTTACTTGGGCCAAGAGGGGCAGGAGAAGAAGGCGAACTAGGACGGTTTTTGAATGATCGAAAAGAGAGGCACCAGTTTCTGCTTGAAGCTGCTCGCCAGTGTCTGGAAGCCGGGCTTAATGACAAAGTAAGCCTTCATTCTTTTTTATGAATCACTCGGCTTTGGTTTATGAATCTAACATCAGTTTTACGTTTTCTTCTAAAATCTCCCTTTCCTGACTAATATTTGTCGGTAAATGATAGGGCATATTGATTGGTTCTTTTTATTGTTTGGCATTGAAGTTTCTTCAATAAAATGGCTGTTCATTATGTGGAGAACATCACTTATTTCATCTAGCAAACTTTTTGTTATTTCATCTTGTTTGTATTGGTTGTTCTTTCTGAGTTTCTGACAGTCCATGTATAGATTTACTCCGAGTTGTTTTCTTTGATAACTCTGGTTGTTGATGCTTATCACCCTTTTTTATCCCTGTGTGAAGATTCTCAAATGTCACATGTGCAATTGACAATTATTAAATATTATATGGGAATCGTCATATCCTACCTTTTTTCCAAAGCACACCATCAAATAGTTTTCATTTTACGGATTTACATATTCTGTTAAGTCATGTATTCTTATTAATTGGGCATCTTATTATTAATTTTACTATTTTGAATACAAAATGGTTGCTGCTGAGATATCCATAGCCTAAAAGGGTATGTAGCATTCTGTTGGATGGGAGATTATAGTTCATCTTTTGCCCTGTATGAGTTCTTGACCCATTAATTTTTTTCTCCATTGAGATATGTTTGGGTACTACATTGAACACCATTGGACAGGTCTATATACTGTGTTGCATCATAGATTTCTATTTGTTCCCTTTTCCAGTCTGCCACCATGTCACATCTAGCAGCAATTAAATGTCTTATTCTTGCTGATTGTTGGGCCTCCTCACACTTGGACCCTCTTTAAGAAAAGTCAGTTCTTGCTTTTTGTCTGAATGTAAAGATTTATCTTTTGCTAATCGTTCATCTCCATTTCAGTCTATAGAGATACAGAAGAGAGTTGGGGCATTTTCAGCAGCGCTGGATACCATAAACAAGGGACTCTCTGAAGCTATCTGCTCTTTATCACGTGGTAGATTGGATGGTGAGAGCCGGACAACCGGGCTTGTTCATTCTGGAAACGAGCTGCTGGAGACATTTAAATACTACCCGGATGTCAGGTAAATCTTCGATCTTGGTTCTGAAAATCAATACTATAATCATGATATAAAGCTCATGAGTTGCTACATTCCAGTGAAACACAGTGATTTCTCTCTCCCTATTTTGCTGCTTCTGCCTCTTTTTTGCATTGTTGACTTGCCTAGCTCAACAATGTGAATCCTGTTTTTCATCTAATTTGCCTTAGTGGGCGCATTAGATCCTTTCAAATGATCTCATTTTTATGATCTTTCTTATTGTATGAATTCTCTCCTCAACGTTCTAACATATTAAAGGTCATCTCTGTGTTAATCATTAATGGGCATTCCTCTAGACTGCCTTCCTTACCTTTTTCCATGTTTTCTATGTATGCATCATTATTTGTTCTTACTTTTTTCTTTATTTTTTGTGCTTATTTCACTATATGTTAGTCTTTATTTCTTCCACCTGTTTGCTCGCATCCTTGCACAAGCCGTGGGTCCTCACGGAAATAGCCGCTTTACCATTTTTGGGTTTTTGGGTAGAGGTTACGTCCGCGTACATTTCACCCTCCCCAGACCCTTTTTTCGAGTGGGATTTAGTGGGTCAGTTTGGTTTGGGTCATTCCTCTAGATAATAATTTTAGATATTTTGAAGATTTTTATGTGCGGGAATTCAGGAAGTAAATCTTCAATGATTTTTATTTCTTCCCATTTGAACTGTTAGTTATTTATCTTCCATGATGACCCATAAACTTGTCTCATTTCTAACTTAACCAAACATCAACCTTCTTTTGTTAAATTGCTGGCATTTCATTGTGCAGTCTCCAAGAGAGAGATCATGTGTTAGAGCAAGAAACTGTGCTAAGACAGCTCGAGACAATTTTGTCTATTCATAAATTGGCAAGGCAAGAACATCATCTAGATGCTCTAAGGGAGGTCGCCAAGCTTCCATTTCTTCCATTTGATCCCCGAGCGCCTGATACGCCAACAGATTTGTTCCAAAATTCGTCTCCTTATGTCCAAGCTTGTGTTCCGGACCTTCTTAAGGTTTCTCTTCAGTGTATAGACAACGTCAGAGATTCGGATGGGTCACTTCGTGCATTAAGAACCAAGGTATGTTTGTTGTCATGTATAGAAAAAAATGTCAAGACAACTTAAGTTCACAAATAATGCAAAGTTCTTACCTTGGCACATATTTTAATATTAGTTTTTGAACCAAATACCTAAGATGCCCCTAAATAAGACAAAACTTAGGGTGCATTTGATATGCGGGACATGATGGGATGTAACAGTACGGAAACTTGTCTCACATTTGACAACATTAGACTAGTACAGTAGGGGACCTGAGTGGGAAAATTGCATTTTTTCTGTACCACAAAAATATGTTAAACGGTTGAACAAAAACTAAATTACTTAACTACCCATATCAAATTCATACCCTCTACCTACAAAATTCTTTCACCGCCTACCTTATTATTGCCAGACCAGTCTTGTCCAGTCCTATCTGCATACCAAACACACAGAAAATTTGTGAGCTATGATCAATCTCACCAACATTTGTAATTGTCGCTAATGGACATATAGGTAAATTTGCAAACTAATCTTTCCAAAAATGGAAACATGTATTTTTTTTCTGGGACAACCTTGCCCTTTCTTTCAGGAACTGTTTTCTTAGGGGTGGGGGGAAGGAGGGTAGATCGAACAATAATATTCTAAATCTTAATATTAGCTTCATCTTCCACTTAATATGTTCGTTGTCCTACTTCTCATTTTTCTCGAGTAGATTATCATTTGATATTTTTAAATTATTTACTGGCTCGATTGACCATGAACTAAATCATGTTTACCTTTTTGAACTAATAGCATTCACTCACGCTTATTCAAGTACAAAATTATCTTGAAATTCTTTCTAGATTTTGAAGTTGGCTTTTCTATATCGTAACAAGGGTGTGTTTGTCCTAGATTATTGATTTGGCCTCGAGGTTGTGTTTCGCTTATAACAAGTATTTGCCTTGTACAGATTGCCAATTTCCTTGCGAACAATTTGAATCGCAACTGGCCACGTGACTTGTATGAAAGAGTCGCTCGCAGCTTGTGAAACCAAAGTTCTCGTGTTCTGGTTTGTTCCTCATCTTTGGGCTCGGTGAGATTTGTAGGGACAAAATGATCACCTTGTTGAGGTTAGCTTGGTTGTGGTGAGTGAGTTGAGCAGGAAACCAATCTTTTAATGAAATTTTATTCAACTGTATGAATGTATGATTAATGGTGCATATGATGATGCTATTGTAGATTTGTTTGTATCTGCAAATGCCAATTATAAGAGCTCTTTTTTGGCACTATCAGGTTGCTAAATATAGCTCTCTATCGATCCTGTAGAGTCTATATTTAAGTTTTGATGTCGATTAAGTGCTTATCGGCAAGAGATATCACCCTCACTTACCTTATCGTGTGTAATATTCTCAGCCATCAAAATAGATTGTTGGTAAGAGTACTTATCGGATAAGAGTCTTTTCTCTTACTTACCAGGTAAGCCTCTCGGTTGTTGTTATGTCTCTTACCGTGTAAGATTCTCGTTCATTTTCTTGTTCGATCGGTAATGGATTTGGAATCAAATTCTCTTTCTTTCCATATTTGGGTTGAAGGATTTATAGGATTAGAAATCCCATGAACACGAAATTTTGAAATCCCAATGGGTGGTTAATATTTCACGCGATTTCGTAGTTTTTATATGTAATAAATGTTTTAAAATATGTTTAAAATATTTATTTTATAATTATTAATTAATAACAATGTAATTTAATTATTTATAAATAATGAAATTCAATCTCATTCCAAATCCTATAAACCAAAGCTTCCATCCAAATCCCTCTAATTCCAAATTTTTTACAAAATCCAAATTTTGCAAAACCATTCTATCAATCCAAAAGACTCAAGGGTCCATTTGATTGGTGGAATTTGAAACTAAATTTCATTTCATTATATTTCGTTTAAATGAAAGTCCGGAATCAAAATCCCAAAATTTAAATAAAAATCCAAAACATTATATTGGATTTAGAAATACAATTGGAGTAGTTAGTAATTCATATGTTAAAAATAATTGTTTTATGATAAATAATCAATAATTTAATTAATTTTATAATTTGTTTTTCAAGATCAGCTATAAAATAATGAAATTCAATTTCTCTTCATATCCAATAAACAAACATACTAAAGATTTCAAATATTTCTAATCCCAAATTCTCTTATAAAACCCAAATTTCTCAAAAATATTCCATTAAATCAAATAGACCCTACAATCACAAATTTAATTGTATATGTCAGTTTCTTTTTACAGTTAATGGTGGTTGGAATGGACGGCAATGGGAGTTGACAGTAGTTGTGGTAGGGATGGTAACGAAACATAAGGTGATAATACGAAGATAATGAAAATCTATAAGAATGTAAAAGTAAATATTTTACTATATGAGAATACATTCGCCTTATATTCATAAAATCTCTTACAATTTGAGTTTACGAGTTATTATCGTTTATGTAACTTTAAATCTTTACGTTTGAATTTTATATAATTAAACGCTTATTGGATAAGCGTTTATTCGAGTGCCACTTGCCTTAGTGGGTGGGTATGTGAAAAACCAAGAATCTTATCTGTAAGATACATATCAAGGAACAATTAAGCTTACTCAGTAAGTGAAGAAGAAAACTCTTACCTGACAAGCACTACCAACAATCCATTTTTGACGACAATGTTACCGGATAAGATAATTGAGCATGTTGACTATTGCTAGCAAGTGTTGACCAGTAAGTGTTTGGTAAACGACTCTAACTCATAATATTTTATTCAAAAACTAAAATTACCAAGGGTTATTTGACAGTTGCAGAATGATTTAATGCAGGATGATTAAGAGGCTCTCATGATATAGTGTAAAATGAAATACAATTGTTTGATAATTATTTACAACGAAATTAGGGCACTGAATGATTAAAGAAGACTCATGATACAAAATCATCCAGAGAATTTTAAAACTATTAAGAGACAAATTTTTTTTTATCAAATAAAATTTATCTCTTGATAAGACTATTAAAAAGTAAACAAACAACCCCTAAATAATCATTATTTAGCCCGGTGGTGGAGCCGCATTAGAGCCAACATTGGCTGACCATGCATTTTTTAAAATTTCTTTATATAGAATGGTATCTATAAACTGATGTGACATGGTATATATGAATTGGGCCCCCCTTATATACTTGAGGCCTACTAAAAATAATACACAGTTTATCGACGTATTTACTGAGGCCATGAATCTTGAACTAGTCATATTTAGTAAAATTGGCGAATAAATTAAATGAAAATGTAAAATAAATTAAAATTTGAAGTTTTTAAAGAAACTAAAGAGTTAACGAGAGGTAGGTTGGCAAAAAAGTGAGACGAGTTTGCCCAAATACAAAACAAGACCCGAGTTTGATTTTGTGCTCCCATTAGCCTCAGTTGTTGAGTGAGCCAAAAAATGCAGTATCACATTAGTGTCCTTGGAGGCGGGTTTTGTATACAACATGTTGGGATTGCTGGTAATCAATTTTCTTCCCAAATGATAGTCCGAAAAAACGTGTTTTACTTTTAACTATATGATGATAACAGTCTTGTATTTTATTGTTGATGAAAAGATATGTGTATTGTGAGAAAAGATATGTGTATTGTGAGAAATGATTTACAAACCTATTATAAGTACTAATACTGTTTCTTTATTATTTCAAAGTCAAATACTATGTATTTTTCTTAGACTATTGTCAACGTGGACACTAAATCTTATACTAAATACTAAATTTGATACTAAGGAGCTATTTGACAGTTGTCGAATGGTTTGGTGCAGAATGATTAAGTGGTCAGAATGATTAAGAGGCTTTCATGATATAGTGTAAAATGAAATATAATTGGTTGGTAATTGTTTACCATGAAATTAGTGCGTTTAATGGTTAAGGGATACCCATGATACAAAATCATTCAGAGGGTTTTAGAACCATTAAGAAGCAGACTTTTTTTTTACCAAACAAGATTCATTTCTTAATGATTCAGATGTTGCCTCTTAATAGAACTGTTGAGAGGTAAACAAACAACCCCTAGATCACTCCAATAGGAACACCAAATGGTGTAACGAATAATAATACACTATATATATATATATATATAAATATATATAATATATTGATACTAAAATATAACGAATTTTTAAAAAAATAAATAGTGATTAATAAAATAAAAATATGCAAAGTATAAAACACATTATTACCAATAATGTAGTTCGGTTAAAACAGTATAATAATATAACGAGTAAATTACAAATTTCGTTTCTATGGTTGTATGAAATTTTGGATTTGGTCCCCTAATCGAACTAATTACAACCATTGTCACTATGGTTTCAATTTTGTTGTGGATTAAATCTCTCTCTTTAACTTCGTTAACTTAGCTCCATTAAATCAGGAGCCTTTTGGTAATTTTGTCTTTACTTTTAAATTGACAAAAAATATATAATTATATATATATATATATATATATATATACACACAAAAAAAACACATGCATGTCTTCTCTAATCTCCCTCCTCTCACCATGTCACCATCCCTTTCTTGTCATGTCTCCCTCCTACCCCATTAGTACCACATCCTCGTCCCCTTCGGATCTGCAACTCACGTATTGAGGGAGAACAGGAGAATTGGTGAGCAACATGATCGTGCACTTTAGATCTCCGTTGATACCCCTTCAGATCTCTGTTGATACCCCTTTAGATCTCTGGGGGATACTCTCGTACTTTCCGATCAAGCACTCCATCTTTTTCATCTCCTCCGCCTTACTGGAGCAGGAATCTTAGTCTTGACCATTGCACACACGACACATCATAACCCTTTGCCTTCCCCACATCACAGTGAATATCTTGAATTAGTTGTAAAAGTAAGCAGGAAAAAAAAATCAAAAAACCTATTTAGTGTGTCTGGAATAAAAAACATGTTTATGTGTATGGAATCAAAAACATTAAAAAAATTCAAAAAAACTTTCATCCCAGGGGTGTCATGTTCCATTGTGTTTGTATGTATATTCAGTACAAAATAGGCAAAGTTTCTTCGATATCTCCTATTAATGATCAAAACTTGTTTTCTATAGATGACGGAGGCAGTGCTCGGTGGTGTTGAAAATACGATGGTTGGATGCCATCTTTTTTTTTCATTTTGTTTAACAGTGCTTCTTTTAGAACCGGAGTTGGTCAGAGATGTTGATAGCCGACGATGGTGATGGCTACAGAAGTGGGAGGAGGCCGTACATGGGATGTGCATGAGTGTTATATTTTGTTTTTTTCTTTCTCCATGAAACGCTTTTTACACTTGTACTAATGGCATCTAACCATGTACAATAAAAGATTTTTTTCTAACACATGATAAATTGACCATATTACCCCTAATTTAACGGAGATAGAGTTAACATAGTTAGTCATGGGACCATATTCGTAACAAAAATGAAACAATGGTGACTATGGTTGTAAGTAGTTCTTTAGGGGGGACCCAATCCATAATTTTCATATAACTATAGGGACTAAATATGTAATTTACTCTATTATAATTAATCAGATTATTGTAGAAGTAAAGAATATGTGGGTATGACTTGTAAAGTTAATAAATATAAGGGTATTTTTGAAAATTTATATAATTATAAATTAAATAAAAGTATTCTAAGAATATTCTATTTTGATGTAAGAAATTGTATAATAAGATGAAGAGTTATTGATATTTACACCAAAATAAGAATATGAATAGTTCAGAGTGGTTGAAAACATTTTGTATCCGATACACATCAAGACGACGTTTGGTTTGTTGGAATCTGACCGAATATGATAAATTGTAACTGTCAGTTCTGTTGATCAAATTCTATGCGTTTGGTTCGTTCTTTGAGTTTTGGCACACAGTTCCAGTTCCACATACGGCGTAATTTAAATTCTTTGACTTTCAGTAAGGAATTTCAATTCTTTTATCATCTCATCTTTTGAGAAAGATCATTTTGCTCTTATATTTACCGTATTCCATTCTATTCCACCACGATGTCGTCATCATCGCTGTCACTACCGTCACCACCACCACCACTACCACCATCATTGTCTCCATCACCACCGTCGTCGTCGTCAATACCACCACCACGGTTGCCGTGACTACCATCACCATCGTCTCATTAGTTAGCTTACTGCATTCACTATCTCATGCAAAAAACATAAATCGAAAACAATTTCCTCTTAAAAACATTGATGCTTCAGCATTAGGAAAACGTAATCACAGATATGAGAYATCAACTACTCCTCGTATGTCACGGACTATTGATAAAGTAATACGAACTAAAATACGACAACTCGTCGTTGTCAAAAACATCATATAGAACTCGTAACGTGAGGGACTAAAAAGACAATTAGTGAAAGATAAAGGGTGTAAATTGAGAAAATGGTGAAAGTAGTGGCGGTGATATGATTTAACTGCAGAAAGCATTTTGTATGTAAAACAGGAAAAAAGGGGAATTCTGCACGCAATTAGTCCTTTGAACCGTGGTTCTTTCTCGAGAGCCTCGAGTGGAGAGGGGAGTTGTTAATATCTTGTACTCCAAGATAAAAGTAAAAGAATCTGGAAGTGGAAAGGGATTAGGATTTTTATGCAATACTGCTTCAGCCCTGGGGCGTCGGAGTTGTGAAATCGGCAACTGTTATTGCGCCGATTGGTTTCTTCGGTATATGTTCAGGATGGAGATTGATTCATCATCATCATCCTCCGAACCTAATACGCCTCTTCTTTCCCCAAAAGATCGTATACTCAAGGTACTAATTTATGTGTAAATCTTACCCTTAATTTCTATCGAAATTTGGGCGTTATTGACAGTGACAATCATGGATTGGGAATGTATCAAGAAATGGGAAATTTGTTATTGATGTCATGATTATTCTTTCCGTATACATTTGGATTAGTTGGAAATTTTTAATATGATTGGTTCTTACTGTTTCATTTGCAATTTTCAAGTGAAGGGATAGTAATTTTTGAACGAATACTCTCCCTAGTTTACTAATTGTAGAATAGAGGGAGTACACTGATCCTCCTATTCAATGGGGGAAGTTCACATTTTGACGAGTAAAAAGTCAAAATTAGTTGTTTTCATGCTAAAAGTTGATTGAATTCTTTTTCTTTCCCTGTAAACCAAGTTTTTCTCTCACAAGTTAAAAGAAATTGTAGCAGATTATAGGTTGAAGTTTATCGATATTTGACCCTCAAGTGAAACTTAGATAGATGTTAATTTTTTTGCTGGAATAGGGGGAGTATAATGTTTTCCGAAGATCATCTTTTGTTGGCAGTTATTTCATATTTGTATGAAAATATGCTGTTATCAGTATTTGCTAATAAGCTTCTTCTTTTCCTTACTTCAGATTTTTTGGTGGTTTTGCTTCTATCATGAATGTAATGAGATAGCTGTTTAATGATTAGACAGGCTGAAGAAATTTATTAGTTACGTTGTCGGGTTGCAACATTTAGCAAGTCAATAGGAAAATCATGTAAGTAGAAAAAATATAGGTTGGAGTGACACATGTAGTTGACTAGGCCTTAGGAGATATAACTTTCACGGCAGGCTGTTCTAGAGGAGAGTTCAAGATGGGAAAATTTAGGGTCTTCATTTTTATAATAAAACACGTAATGTGATCCATCAGACGACCCTATAGGGGGGTTAACTCACTACAATCCTAAGATCATTTGTACTTGAAAGAGCTTAATCAGGGAACTGATGGGTTTGTCTGGTAGACATTTATGCTGATCGATGATACGAACCTCTCCACATAAGAAGTAAAGCAACCTAAAAGAGAACCATTTTATTTCATGGTTATGGAAAAGGGATAGATGATTTTTAGCATCATGAACTACTTTAATATTTTCAAGCACCAAAACCGGTGATCTACTGATACGTGATTTCACAAACATACATCCATAGTGGTACACATAAACAATGATTTGGGGGAGATGGTTTTTGTCCTTTGCCTATTATCTTATGTGTTTTTGCTTGGTATATGCTTTCGCGTATGTTCCATCATTTTTGATTTTTTTCGTGGAGAGGGCTTGCATTGTTCCAGTGTTGTAGCTTGTGGTATAACGGGAATGCCAAATTGAATTGCTTAGCTTTGACCAAATTAATGAATATATCTCTTAGAGTTCAAAAGTATTCTTCCCTACTCACTAGTTTGGTGCAAAACATGAATATTGCGTTTCTACTTTAGATAAACACTTTAATCGCTGGGAACAAAGGTTTAAAGGAGAAAAAGGAGAGTACAGGAAAAGAATGCTGATGATTGAAGATAAGTCATCAAGTGGAAGTTTATGACTTGTAAGATAGAGGGATTTAACCATGTGAAATATTGAAAAATAGATGATTGATGAGAAGTTCTTGAGTGAAATATTGACTTAATAGAGGGACTTGACTAAAGAATACTTTGGGATGCACGTCGATCAGTTCAGTTTTTGATGATTTTCTATCTACATATCTACTGATTCTCTTTTTGATACTATCAATATGTACACGTCTACTGCTTCGATGATCAAATGCATCCTACCATGCTAATAATATATGACTGTCTTGCATTTACTTGATTTGTCACACTTTTCCTGGATGGAAAGATAGCCAAACATTTTGTAGCAGATTTACCTTTTCCCTCTTCCAACCCTTGCATCCATTTTGGGCACGTCGTTATATGATTTTGCTTGTAATTATTGGGTATATATTAATAGCTCAGGAGCCTTGCTTTGTATTTTGATTTTTAATGCTTCCTCTTATTATAGAACAGAAGCTTATGTAAACTGTGTCAACATTTTTCTGTATGTCAGAGGCTTGTCCTGATAGGAATTCCTGAAGAGAGCCTTGAGCATCAGGAGTCCGGGTTAATTTCATATGTTAAGGAAAACAACCTTCAAATATCGGAGATCGTCTCTGCTATTTTGCCAACTGATGTTGAAGTAGAGGCTGCTATGGAAGCACAGACAGACCCTGCTAGATCAAGCACCGACGATTTACTACATGAAAGCATGACCTGGTTGCAGTGGTTGATGTTTGAGGGTGATCCTGACGACGTCCTACAACGCCTAACAATGATGAATGTTGGGCGGCGTGGTGTTTGTGGGGCTGTTTGGGGCCACAATGACATAGCATACCGTTGTCGAACATGTGAACATGATCCAACTTGTGCAATTTGCGTCCCATGTTTCCAGAATGGTAACCATAGTGACCATGATTACTCCATTATATACACTGGTGGTGGATGCTGTGATTGTGGGGATGTGACTGCATGGAAGCGTAGTGGTTTTTGTTCTAAACATAAAGGAGCAGAACAGATACAGCCACTTCAAGAGGATGTTGCAAATACTTTAGGTCCTGTTCTGGATTGCCTTCTCCTTTGTTGGAAGGACAAACTGTTATGTGCAGAGATCATCCATCAAGCTAGTGTTGATGATAATGTTGCCGACCAGAGAAAGGTTGCAGATGAGCTGACATCTGCAGTTGTGGAGATGCTGATGGAATTTTGCAAGTGCAGTGAAAGTTTGCTTAGTTTTGTTTCCAATAGGGTGTGCTCTTTGGTTGGTCTGTTGGATGTCCTTGTAATGGCAGAGAGGTTCTTGAGCATGGATGTTGTTAAGAAGCTTCAGGAGTTGCTCTTGAAACTACTAAGTGATCCTTTTTTCAAGTATGAGTTTGCAAAAGCTTTTTTAAGGTATTATCCTGCAGTTGTAAATGAAGCTGTAAAACAGGGTAAAGATTCTATTTTCAGAAAGTATACACTATTGCCAACATTCTCCGTACAAATTTTCACGGTCCCTACTCTGACGCCCCGACTTGTTAAGGAAATGGATCTCTTAGCCATGCTGTTGGATTGCTTGAGCAATATATTCAGCTCTTGTTCTAGAGAGGATCACCGACTACAGGTATAGTCAACTAATATGATTATTCTTATCAGTGCATTACGGTCTTTAGCATCATCATTGTATTTTGTGATGCTTCCCACTTTTGTCCTTAATCTCCATTGTGAAGTCCTTATTTCAGAATTCAGATCATGAGTTTTGCTGTCATTAGATTATATTGCATCACGTGATGATGATTAGGTTCAGAAGTGTATCCATGCAGTTATATGGCGGAAATTTCAAGAATCTTATCTATCCCCCCCACTTTTGACATAAGGCTTTTACTTATATACATTGCCAAACCCTAAGGGGTTGCTAGTCATTCTTAAATAGTGGTGATAGTTTCTTGTTAATTTCCCATTTTTTGCATTGCATATGAATATCAAGTACATTACTTGCGCCATAGTTGTTAACTTGATATGTTGATTTTCTATTGCAAATTCATATACTTTCTTCTCCAATCTACTTCATATCTCTATTTTGATTCCAGGAAGGTGTATTAGAGCAAAGCTGGTTTTGGTGAAAATTTCTTTCCACATATATCCTTTGCATGCATTGAACAACTTCCGTCTGCTTCTCTTTTGTTCATAGTTCAACAACTAGTGAACATGAATGTTTTTTCGTAATCTAATCAAGTAGTTTGAATAAGATTTATATATGGCCCTCGCAACATAAAATGAAATTGTTGATGGTCAACAAGTATAAATAACAGAAATATTCTGATTAATTGTGGTTTTGATTTCTGTAACAAGTTGTTCTTAATTCATTGTGATAGTCATATGTTCCAATTGTGTGTCAAATTTGTAGGATATATTTTCTGGTATTCATTCTGCACCTACAGATCCGATAATCAGATCACATTAACCAAAAAACTTGTCTAATCTACAATGAACATTTCACCCTATTCTAGTGTAATTTACTGTGCCAAACTTATTAATTTCAACTCAAGGATTCAATTGTTGAAGTCTTAGGATTAAAGTTCACAGTCCAGCTCACTTACCGTCGATTATGTTTCATCACTTGTCGATCTGGTTATTAGAGCTTGAGGTAACTGGTCGTTTCTAGTTTATCTCGTGGGATACCTCCTGGTCCAGACATGCAGTCAAAAGACGTGGATCATCCCTGCTTAATTAGTAATCTCTAGCAGAGGGTTCAGCCACTAACATGAGAGAACTTCTGCCTTAAGAAATACTCCAGAGTGCTTCTAAGAGGATTACTTGGGAAAACATTACTGCTGGTGAAGATATTATTTGTCGAAGAAGAGATAGGTAATCTTTATGGGCTCAGGATGAGAAGAATATTCTTTATCATGGAAATTTTGTGCCAACTAGTTATCAAAGGCACCCAAGGTCCAGGGAAGTTGACGAGCACAAGAACACTGAGTTTCAACATTTTTAAATTGGCTACAAGGATATATATCCAGCCAACTAGGTATGGGTGGCAGAGTCTTTTCATATAATGGGATGTATATGCATGGAAGGTTCAGATAGCAGTCATGTATATGCTCGGACATGCTGAACACTGGTAATAGTCTTACTTTTGTGAGCGGAGGCGACCTTACTTGTGCCACAATTTTCTGGACCTAATAAACAGATTCACTCTATAGACAATGACAACATTTTGATAAATTCAAACAAATTCAACAGGTTGAACAACATAGTAGTTTGACAAGCTCATGGGTCTGGTACTGATTGCAGCTCCAATTTTACTTGCATCTTAATTCATTAAAAAGATGAATAAGGAGATGATAACGCTGCTAAGACCTAGGATCTTCTTCAAGTTACATAAGAAAGCAAAATACAAAGGAGTACAAGCTGTATGCCTAAGTTGAAGAAGTATGCAAGACCCCTAGACCACCTTGTCCCATTAAAGAATGCACACATTGCCAAACTATTTTTATAAAATCAACAACTGATCTTTAGGACGGAAATTGAAAGGAAGAATACATCTGGGCATACGTATGGACAGCCCATTTTCATGACAATCCTGATGACTTGCTTTAACAAGAAGCAGATGAGATAAAATTGTCCATGCAAGAAGTACAGAAAATCTGTATTATTGACCAATTCAGCGAACATTTGTTTCCTAATCTCATACATGGGATAAATACTTGGTTATTGACCCTAGGACACATGAAGTTGTGGTGTTGGAGTCTTAGTGGTCACAAACTTGTCTTGGCAGCTAATGGCACTAGATGCTAAACGAATAAAACGGGATGCATTCAAATGGCAGGCGTGTAAGAAGGATTTGTATGTATGCCGCCATTGGTAGCTGTGTTGTAGTGCTTGGAGTCAATGGATGCTATAGCTCGTGTAAGTACTGTTTGATTTCAGAACCTCCCATGATCTTCAAGAAGGGAAAAAATGTTGTGCCGAGATAATGCCGGTTGCAAGGATCCAACTCATATAATGTTGAATGGGGATTATTCTGCTGGAGAAAGGCTACGTTGAACTTCTGCTTGCAGTGAAGCCTACATTGGGGGTGGGGGGATTCCCACAACATAATGACAACTTTACTCTGATGTTTAAAGTCACCAATGAGCATCAATTTGCTAAGGGTATGGTTTTAAAGTTCTTGCTGGATGAGGACAAGTGCTTGCTAAGGCCACTACCTTCCCCCATGTAAGATAGAGCATAGAGCAACATATTCTGTTCTTGCCTAGTTCAACATCCTTTTCTGTTATATTTGATAGGAAGGTATTTGACCAAAACAAGGAGATCGGAAGATTAATTCTCAAGTGCTGGTGGTTAAAGTGTTTGGGGGTGAGCCACTCCCCTATGCATCTCTAGCCATCTAGTCGAAGAGGGGTCATGCTTGTAGACATGCTTCTGATTACAAACATATTAAACTTCCCATCGTCAAATAGAGATCCAATTTTTCAATTGATGATCTTATAGATGAACCAGGTGGGGGGGGGGATTAGTCATTTTATCCAACTAGTCCTTGTAGTTGGCTACCACTAGCACTTCTTATGATCACTTATCTGCTAATTTTAACCAGTGAAGGCCAAAATACTATCATACTTTCTTTTTTGAGTTCGTATAAAATATAAAAAGCAACTTCTATTACGTGTATATAATTGTGTTTACAAGTTGACCTCAGATGCTTGCACTCTTTTTGATGCTGCTGGAACAAAATAACAAAATGAAGACCATGCTTTGATTTTTAGGTCATAAGAGGTGATGATGCACATCGTTATTTTGAGGGAAAGTAATGTAACATAATTGAATAACGATAAAATAGCAATTAAGGTGTGCCACCTTTGTTGTAGATAGCACATAAATGTTAAAGCTTAACCAAATCGCTTGGAACTACATAAGTTGACGGTCTTGAGATCTTTAGACCCCATCAAAAGATAAAATTTTGGAGGGAGATTTGGTTAAGATCATATCAACTCATAGATGTATTGGGAACATAATGATCACTTCAATGAGGCACTAGATGTTATCGGTTTAGTTTTTGAGGTGGATATTGTTCCCATATATGCGCTAGGTTATATCTGGTGGCCTCTTGGATATTTGTTGGCTTTTCTATTTGAATATCTTCTCTTGATGTACGTCTCCTGTTTGTTTTTGGTGATCCTTGTTTAGCATATGGGTGTGTGCCTCATTTTAGGGGATTTGTTGGAGTGCATTAAGAGAGAGAGAGAGAGAGAGCTCTATGTGTAACACCCCAAATCCTACTTCGGGTGTCGTTACCTTCTTATTGATTCTACTGAGTCTTGTATATGAACTTGAGATTTAACTTTATTTATAAAACTTAGCTTTATGATTACAACAGAGTTCAAATACTAGTGGAAATGTAACTCAATTGCTTGCTATTGATTAGAACAATACTTCTTCATGATATCCTTCTTTACTCCTTCCATGAGATATATAAGCTAAAAGCTTAGTGAGTAATTATGGTTTCATGAATAAACAAGTTTAATGATGCTTAACATTTTGGGAATAGTAATTTACTAGAACTCTTGATCATGCACAAAAATAATCTTTTTGTCATGCATAAACATTCTTTTGAGATCTCACTTGAAATATGTTAGTATGCCATACTTGTCTTGGGGTTTGCCAACCCCCGGGTCCATAAAGGTTGCCTCATAAGGTCCGTTTGCAAGACGCCTCTTCGTTCTATATCCCTTACGTTGGATATTTGTGGTCATACATAACATGCATAAAACTTTCATGCCTTGTGTGTAAAACACATCATGACATTCCATCATACATATATCTTGGCTATATAAATGTATCATCATTTCGTGTAAAGAAAATGTTATCATTTTTTCATAATGCATAAAATACATTTATATAGCATATATGTATCTCAGTAAATCTCATAACGTACTTACTTTGATTATGCCTAGCTTTCCCTTAATTCTTTTCTTCAAGCTTGATTATGTATAAAGAGAGAGATTTCTTATTTTTTTGTATGGAGCTAATAGTAACACTTCAACCCTTATATATAAGTGAATTCATTGCATTAACTACTTGTTTTTCTTGTTCCCAAAATTGTACTCTTATGAGAGTTTAATATCTCATTTTTTAGGATAAGAGAATCTTGATACCTCATGCTTAATATAAAGGAATCTTGACACTCATGCTTCTACCAGTTATTTGTCATGCTTTTAACTCTTGCTTGTCATCATGAATTGCCAACACGTGCTTCAAGCCTTGTCAACTCATAACTAGCTTGCTTTGTCATGCTTAGTAGACTTGCTTTGTCATCAAATAGCTTGCCAACACATACTTCTAGCTCTTCCAACTCATCACTTTGATTTCTCATGCTTTGCCTTGTAAGCTACTTGTAAACTACTTGCCTTATAAATATGATAATTTAATGGATGCTACAGCTGATGGCACCTTTTTAGAGTACTTAAATTGCTCATAATATTTGTATTTAAGGCTTAAAACATTGTAATTCAACAAATATGAAACTAGGGTGTTACACTATGCATGGTTAAGAGCGAAGCTTTAGTTGTGAGCATCAAAATATAGGAGATTGATGGCATTAAAATTTTGGAGTGCCATACGTAGTCAATCCACGAGTTGACGCGATGTGATAATCCAGAAGAGGACAATTCTTTTACATTACAGGTTCATATTTTTCAGATAATGTACTAACAATTCATGTAATCGAGTCCAAGTAAACAAGTGAGATTGGAGATCATCTCTTTCGATAGTAACTGGATTTGTCATCTTTGATGTTCAATTTATCTCCTCTGCTTGATGTCTTCTTTGTTTGACACTTCATCTAGTTTTTATTTTCCAATCTGCGTTCCTTTGATTTTTTTCAGGTTTCCAAGTGGGGAAACTTGTATGAAACAACTCACCGTGTGGTCGAAGATATTCGATTTGTCATGAGCCATTCTACGATACCTAAATACATGACATGTGATCGGCGTGATATCTCAAGAACGTGGATGAAACTCTTGGCTTTTGTGCAGGGCATGAGCCCTCAAAAGAGAGAAACAAATATTCATATAGAAGAAGAAAATGAGAATATGCATTTACCTTTCGTTTTAGGCCATTCTATTGCAAATATTCATGCTCTGTTAGTGGCCGGAGCATTTTCTATGAGTAACAGAGAGACAGAAGATGAATCAGTTTCCACTATGTATAAGCAGGATATTGATGAACAAGATAGTGTAAGACATGCAAAAGTGGGGAGACTTTCACAAGAAAGCTCTGTTTCTAGTGTGACTGGCAGGGGCATTTCATTTGATTGTGAAATGAAGTCTGTTGAAGGGAATGCTGATAGTTTGGCAGTCCTGACTTCTATTTCATGGTTAATGTTCGAGTGTTTAAGGGCCATAGAGAACTGGTTGAAAGTGGACAATACATCAGGAGCTCTTCGCAGTGTCTTAAATTCAAGAGCAAGCAATTCTTCTGGTGGTAATTTCTTTCAATTAAAGAGAACACTATCTAAGTTTAGAAAGGGCAAAACTATTTTCAAGTCACCTAGTAATCATATGGGTTCTCAAGAATTTCATACTAAGCAACTTTCTTCACTCGCTCATTATGGTGTTCATCAACATTTGAACGGGTCAAATGACACCATTTCTGCAGGTTTTGATGATCGTCTTGTGGAAGGAGATTATACAAATGAAATAGAGGCACTTACTGTTCTGAGTTTGGCAGATTGGCCAGAAATTCAATACGATGTTAGTTCAGAGGAGATATCAGTACACATTCCATTACATCGTCTGCTCTCATTGGTTTTGCAAAGAGCATTAAAGAGGTGTTATGGGGAATCTGCATCGCCAGATATGAGGATCATTGGTTCTGCTGATTCTTCGTCAGCCGTATATGATGATTTCTTTGGCCATGTGCTAGGTGGTTGCCACCCTTATGGATTCTCTGCTTTTGTCATGGAACATCCTCTGCGTATTAGGGTATTTTGTAGTGAAGTTCATGCTGGGATGTGGCGGAAGAATGGGGATGCTGCAGTACTATCTTATGAGTGGTATCGTTCGGTTCGCTGGTAGGTGAAAAATTTCAAATAAGATCTGATAGACACATATCTTATTTGGTAGAAGCTTGTGACATTAATTTCCTTTACTTTTTTCTCTCGTGCACAATGCAGGTCTGAGCAGGGTTTGGAGCTTGATTTATTTCTTCTACAGTGTTGTGCTGCATTAGCTCCAGCAGATCTTTATATTACTCGAATTATAGAACGTTTTGGTCTATCAAGTTACCTTTCCTTGAATTTGGAAGGAGTTACTGAGTATGTATCTTTTCTAAAACTTGCTCCTTTACTTCCCTCCTCGTGTGGTAGAACATGTCATGGTTGATTCTCTTAAACTATTTTCAATGCTCTCATGTCATGTGTGGCTCTAAATGGTGCTATTTTTGCCTATTTTTGGCTGCTGATTTGTGATCTATGGTTATTGCTGCTTTTATGCATGGACCTCGTGGTTATTTTGAAGTCTGAGATCGGGAGAAACTCTGTTAACTAGATTAGCGATTGCCATATATAGGCTCACAGAGATTGGTCCCGAAATTATGCAGCCTTACAAGTTTTAACCAGTATCTCGGTAAATTTCTTAATACCCTGACTATATATAGGGGTAGTATTTGGGGATACCTCATGATGGATAGTGTTTGTTGACGAGGCCCACACACTAACACACATGGCCTGCGGGTTGGGTTCCGGTGAGAATGGATGTTATGGTGAGAAGGGTAAGAAGGGATCTCCACCCTTGGATCAATCCTAATTGAAGATCAACACTAATGCGGTGCACCAAGATGCACCGGATCAATTCCCGTGATAAGTTCAATTCATGGGGTGGAGGTGAGATTAAAAGTGATCAAGGATACAAATCCTTTCTTACGCGATCCTTTATCCATGGCCTGCTTGGTGGAGCCGTGGAGGTACAAGAGTTTGTGTGTTGGAAGATTCTTCCACAAAGCACTCATCTTTATGAGGTATCCCTAAAAACTATTTATCATATGTATTAATATGCCCTTGATGCTGGATGTCTTGGATATTCCACTAAGTTGATATGTGCTAGCAGTTAGTGAGTTGGAATCTCTTAGATGGTAAGATCGTATATAGGGCAGATTCTTCTGAATATTATAGTCCATCTATGTGCTGTGTATTTATTTATTGATTTTTATTTGTCTCTTTAACTCTTTTCTAGCCTAAATGCATAAGTTTTCTTTTATTAGGTGTTTAGAATTCCCTACTGATGCTTATAATTTATAATTATTTGATAAGTGCATCAGTCATCTGTCATAAGACTGCGGGATCAACTTACCTTTCATCTGGTGTACTTGATTTGTGATGTATTACGCACTATATGTATATGCGGTTGATGTCAACTATTACTATCGTACCAGGATTTGTGTTTATGTCTGCATTGTGTTATCCTTATTAACTCTTCAAGTTCTGATAAAGCAACACTTGAGAGCCACTGACACTCAATGACCCGCATCATTGATTCAGCGTATATGGATCTTGTATGCTTCAAATCATATGGTCTTTGGTTGTGCATTTGAAAGTACAGATGTGTACTGATGAAGTGCAGTCGTAATGCCTTAACTGCTTCCAATATTCAAACTTGTTTGTTTAAGAAATGACAGTGAGCTTCTCATTAATTTGCTTAAATCATTGTTGCAACATAATCTGTTATGGTCTTGGCTGTGAAAATATGAGGCCACCAAAGATCCAATCAGTCCAATATTATCGGACTTGGCCTTACGTGTCATTATTATTTGTGTTTACTACTACCATATTTCATCTTGACCTTCTTTTTAATTTGTAGAGTTTTAAAAGTGGAAGACCGTTGTTACTATTTATGTAAGCAATTGTTGTCGGTTGTTCAACCACTTCTATGTCTAGAATTTTTTGAATACAAGCGCTGGATCGATATCTTTGATCCATTATGTTCTGGTGATTGGTGGACTTGAATTATCTAGAGACCCATTACAACTTTTTCTTGTAGAACTTTGATTTGAGCCTCAGCGTCATGACCTCATTGGTTGTCATTACATTGCATAAACGATACCACTGATTTCGTAACATGAACAACTGAACATTAGTAGTAGAGATATCAATCCTTGTTCTATTTTATTTCTCTTGGTAAGTTTGACATGTGGAACTTTACAATAGTTATGATGTAACACAAATATTGCATGATATTTTCAGCTATGAAGCGGTTTTGGTGCAGGAGATGCTAAATCTTGTTATACAAATTGTAAAAGAAAGGCGATTCTGTGGATTAACTACAGCTCAATGTTTGCAACGTGAGTTAATTTATAAGCTATCCACCGGAAACGCTACTCATAGTCAATTGGTTAAGTCCCTTCCTCGTGACCTTTCCAAAGTTGATCAGTTTCAACAAATTTTGGATACTGTAGCTGAGTACACGTATCCATCTGGAATCAAGCAGGTAATGGTTTATAAAATGAGCATCTTTCCAATGCAAAGTTAAATTCGTCTGCATGTGCTTATTACAATATTGTCATGTGTGTTAGGGTATGTACAAACTAAGATTAGCATACTGGAAAGAGCTAGACTTGTATCATCCTCGCTGGAACTCAAGGGACCTGCAAGTTGCAGAAGAAAGATACTTACGTTTTTGTGATGTGTCTGCATTGACCAATCAGTTACCAAAATGGACAAAGATCTATCCTCCTCTTAATGGGTTAGCTAGAGTAGCTACATGTAAAACAGTTCTAAAAATCATCCGAGCTGTTCTTTTCTATGCACTTTTTACCGATAAGTTGATGGCATCACGTGCTCCTGATGGCGTTCTTATAACAGCGTTGCACTTGTTATCCCTAGCACTGGACACGTCTCAAAGGCAGATTGAATGTGGTGATCAATCAAGTCATGTAGATAACTCTATTCCCCTTCTGGCCTTTGCTGGTGAGGAAATATCTACAGGGTTCAATGATGGCTATGACAATCAAAGCTTATTATCGCTTCTTGTGTCGTTAATGAGGATAAATAAAAAAGAAAATATGTACAACTTTGTGGAATCTGGTGGGTTTGACCTCTCTTCTATGATTAAGAATCTCCTTCAGAAATTTGCCGAGCTTCACTCTGGATGCCTGACAAAACTGCAAATACTAGCGCCTGAAGTTGTTAATCAGCTATCTCATTCCAGACCAAGTGGTAACGCAAATAATGGTGCATCCATTTCAGATAGTGATAAGCGGAAGGCAAAAGCTCGCGAGAGACAAGCTGCAATAATGGTCGGTACCCATTCAATCACATTTTTTTATTTATTCTGTAACAGGAAATGACATATATACGTGTTGTGTGTGGATTTTCTGTTCAGAGAAGTGACATCTCCTCTTATGACCCTATAAAGTAACAATATTCCCATGTTTTACATTATCTTTTGACTTGTGAGGACGATATCATGACACGTCTCCTAAGCTCATTATGTTTCCACTTATTCTAATCATTTGGTAGGTGTACAGAGGCTGAAAACTGTGTGTGGAAGTAATATTAGACATCTCTGTTGAACTGAGGTATTGTGTTCTAGAAGGCACATTTTAGGTATGAATTAACCAATTCTTATTCCCCACGTAGTATCAGGGTCCCTTTTTCTTGAATAGAGGTGTAGGTCTCAAAGTTCAATTCTTCTATGCTGTCAGATATACATCGGCCAACAATTATTAAAAGATATCTTCCATTGAGTAGTTGGTGCTAGGCCTTCGGTTTATATGTGTTCCGTAGGAGCAAGGTTCTCAAAATCGTTTTGAGGCATAGCCTCGAGGCGAGGCGGTCCATAACCGCCCATGAGACAGCGCCTCCATGGTCTGTGGACGAGGCTTAAGCCTCAATTGGTGAAGCGGTGCCTTGAGGCATGAGGCGTTTTTGAGGCGCACGCCTCCCCAAACCCCATTTTTTTCTTCTCCATTTCTTACCTTTTTCTCTCTCAAGAAGATATTCATCTCAAAGGCCAACCGAAAAGTAAGTTCTTTTTAGTTTGTGTCCATATTTTTAGTTTATGTATAACGTATTATATTATATTATACATATTTCAGTCAATATCATATATGTATAATGTGTTAGGTATGTTCTTTTTGTATTTTTCTGTTTTCTGTATTATTTTATTTTCTGTTTTCTATATTATTTTAAGTTTTCTGTATTATTTTTCTGTTTTCTGTGGATTTGGAAGATGAAAGTGGTAGTGATTATGGATACGATTGTGGAGCTATACAACTTGATCATGCTACGGGGAACTATAAGTTGTAGATTGATATGTTTTTAGACTTATAACTAGTATTTATGAATATATGACGTTTAAAGTTTGGATGGAATTATGTTCTGCTTACCATTAATATTTATGAATTTTATTTGTTTTACGCCTCGAGGCGCAAGGGCGTGGAAGGAAAACGCCTCGAGTCCCAATTCCGCTTTTTAAAACCTTGCGCAGGAGAGAACTTAAGCAATGTACAAATCCCAATTTTAACATTCTGTTTTTTCAACTTTCACGTCCAACCTAGAAGCTTTATGATAGATGTAAAACTTCTAGGCAAGGAATGTGATATTTCAATTCTTCTACGTAACTGTCCTACATCATCCAGTCCACTGGTTGTATGTCCAACCTAGATGCTTTACAATCACATAGTGCTTGCATGTTGATTTCTGTTCATGGTTAAAAGTGCTGCCTCATGTAATGCCAAAACAAATATAATTTTTTTGGGGGGAGGGAAATCAAGTGTTTTTTTCTACACAAATTGGAGATTTCTGCTACCTGAGTGAATGAACATATTTAAAAACAAATCTTCACTAGTATGTTTACATACATATACTCTTATGTTGTTTTTTATTAAGAATATTTTAAAGGTTCTTGCATACAGGTCTTGCTTCCCAGAAAGACAATTTTCTGAGGCTTATAGAAGACAATTATGATCCTGTCTGAATGTAATTGGATAGTGTTGTGAAATTTGTGGTTACTTTTGTTAAAATATGTTATATTTACATATGTTATATTTACATGACATGTGCTTGGAAGTGGAGTTCTTTGACATCAGATGGACCAAAGATCTAAGGTGAAGAGAAGGATCTTATGTATGACATACATAATTCTATATCTGCTTCCATGTTTGAATAATTTAGCTGATTTGGGGGCACTCTACAAAAGTAGACTAGGTCAGGTTGGATGTCCATTTGATCTGCTAGTACTTTCTGTTTAATAATCCAATACTTCTTGTAGCATAACAAAAATCTTCTTCCTTAGATGTCTAATGTGTTAAGTAAGTATGTTATGTTTGTGGTGTGATGAACAATACAAGTGCATAATGCTGTACCTTCTTACCATAAACAAAATAGAGCATTGCCATTATACGGGTTATGTGCCGCGTTTTTCTATTTGTCTCCCGGGGTTTAATTACATTCTTTCACATTTGCAATCTACATGGAATTCAAAATCTGCCTTCCCTTGGACACTCTGGAGCTTCTTCAGGTTATTCATAGCTGGGCTTGGTGATAGATCTATCTTTATTCTTGTTCAGTTGTTTTATCCCAATATTTGGTAACACTGTTATCAAGAAGACTTTCCTACATCTGATATCGTTTTAATTTTTGAGTTCAACCATGTTACATGCAGGAAAAGATGAAGGCACAACAGTCGAAATTCATGGAGAATATAAATTTAACAGCAGACAATGGCTTGAATGATTCAAATGATGCTGAAGAAAGCTCTTCTGATATTGCAAATGATTTAGATGGACCTGAGCAAGTAACCTGCTCTCTTTGCCACGATGCAAATTCCAAGACTCCTGTGTCTTTTCTAATTCTTCTTCAGGTTGGTGATCCCAATTTCTGTTCCTTCTTTCATTTATTTTACATTTAATCATTGAGGACTGACCATGAGACTTTTATAGTCTTTCATCATATCAAACTGATCTCATCTGAATTTCTGATACAAGAAATCCAGGCTTATGAATTTACTTGATAGAGGTCCCCCATCATGGGAAAAAGTTCACAGATCTGGGAAGGAGCAAGTCTCTACTAGTGAGGACGCATTGACTGTTCAATCTTCTGCACATCCTCTTTCAAACAGTTCAGAAACAATACCGTCATCCCAGTTAATGGATTTAGTTCAAAATGCAATCAATGAATTTTCTTCCACTGGTCAGCCAAGAGAGGTTGATGCCTTTCTAGAATTTATCAAAATCCGATTCTCTTCTCTGAATAATTTAAGTTTTCCTCAGACATCACCTGATAGGAGTGAACCAACCACAGCTTCCGGTGATGCATTTGAAGAAAATATGTACACGCTGATTCTGAACACTATGGAAAATCATTTGGTGCAACCAAATATTTTGAGGAAGGTCGAGGATTTCTCAGCTGCTGGATGTAGTTCAGACAGTGGTTCAAATGAATCTCTTTTGCTCGGAAAGTACATTGTCTCTATCTCCGATGAGATAGTAAATAATCCATCACCCTCAGAAAATGCTGGGTCTCGTAGTGGTAAGGCACAGGCAGGTTCAGTGACTTCACGCCTGCCATATGATGGATTTGGGCCTTCAGATTGCAATGGTATTTATGTTTCTTCCTGTGGCCATGCTGTGCATCAGGGTTGCCTTGATCGTTATCTAAGTTCACTGAAGGAAAGGTAAAATCCTTTTCATATAATAAGAACTTAGAGATCTGTTTTGTGTTCAGTGAACCATGTTCCACAAGTTTATTTGTTATCTTAGATCAATTCCTTGTTTTCAATGGATTTGCACCAAGAAAGATGCTTAAATACAGAGGTTTAGGAAAAAGGACAAAATTCTCTTAGGTCCCATTTGGTTTGTTGGATTTGATAGGATTTGTAATTCAATTCCATTCCAATCTCATGTTTGGTTTGAAGGACTGTTTGGATTTGAAATCCCGTGATTGCAATGGAATCCCACAAACATGGTATTTAGAAATCCCATGGGGGTTGGTATTTCGTGGGATTTCGTAGGATTTGTGTAATAATGTTTAAAATATGTTAAAGACATTTGTTTTGTAATAATCAATTAATAAAAAGGTAATTTAATTATTTTTATAATTATTTATCATTTGCTTTTATAAATTATTTATAAAAAATGGAGTTCAATTACCTTCCAAATCCTACAAATCAAACACACCAAAGATTCCAATAATCCCTCCAATTGCAAATCCTTCCACAAAATCCAAATCCCTCAAAACAATTCCATCAAACCAGACGCCCCCTTACTGTGTATAATCCCTAACAGGACAAAAGCTGCTGGTCGCAAGACATGAAAGTCAAGGGACCTCAAGCCTTAACATGTTATTTGGGAGCCTATTGCCAATAGAGTTCATTTTCATTAGTTGATACCATAAACATATCATTTGTTAACTGGGGTGTATTTAATAGCCGCCTACAAATTTATCGTGGAACTTCTCTTCTAAATACCCCTGCAACAATCTGAAATAGGGGGTAGAAAACACACCTTGAGAACACAAAAAAGCCATGCAACTAATATTGGCCCCACTCAAGTTAATTGTATCTGTTGCCTCCATATAGGATATCGAAGAGTAAGCTTAATGGATTTTTCCTTCCACATGCACAAAAACAAGCAAAAATATTGAAAGGCGTCATGTATTATATTTTGGTGAGATATGTTTTTCTTGGCTATGCTATAGCTATTTTGGACTGAAGAAGAATTGAATTCAACTGGCATTAAGAATGCTCAACTTGTGGGTCTTCTCTTGGCATATTTGGCGGACTGTCAAATTGATTTTGAGGGATGATAGAAAGATTATGATTAGTTGTGATTACTTGCTGTCAGTTCTTTTGCAGTGGTATAGTCATCAGTAGTCTGTTAAATCCTATATTCAAGATAGTCATGATATTTTGGATTCATTTTATCTACTTCTTTTGTGACTTTTTTTGTCTATACGGGGACAAAACATATGGTCAACCAGAGCTTTGTTCTTATCACAGTGTATATTTAGTCTCACTAGCGTGCACAAGGGTTCAATCTGTGGCTTTTATCTCTTAACTCTTTTCAGTTTTCACAAGTATATGCATTATTATTTTCATAGAACATGAGTGTAAATCGTAACTGTTTGAAAATAGCTAAGATGTGCGGAAACCCCTAAGCTGTTGGAAACATTGTGTGCAGATATACAAGAAGAATTGATTTTGAAGGAGGACATATTGTGGATCCAGATCAGGTGCATGTTGTTTGAGTCCATTCTTAATAGTTTCTTGGTCCATCTTTTGGATTTTGATGACACTAATTTTATTGGTTGTTCTTATCTTATTAATTCTTTGATGTCCAGGGGGAGTTTCTGTGTCCCGTTTGTCGGGGACTGGCAAATTCCATCTTACCTGATTTGCCTAGAGAAGGAGTGAAGGATAGTGGACCATTGAAAACTTCAAATCTATTACCTGCAGATGCTAATAACGAGTTACCATCCATGAGTAGAGGATTTGAATCTCTCCTTAGACAATCCCTATCGCTTTTGCAAGCTGCGGCTGACGTTTCTGGAAGGAATGAATTTCTTGAGGCTTTTCCAGTGCAGCGGAAAGGAGGAATGGGAACAAATCTTGAATCTGTGGTTCATTTACTACGTGGAATGTATTTCCCAGGCAACGATAAAATTTCAGGATCAAGTCGGTTAAGTGACTCTATGATTATGTGGGACACTCTCAAGTATTCCCTTATATCTACAGAAATTGCTGCTCGATCTGAAAGGACATCTTCGGCTACCAATTATGGCCTTAGTGCCTTGTATGAGGAACTAAGGTCTTCCAGTGGCTTTATTTTGTCATTATTGCTGAAAATTGTTCACAGCACCCGGGCCCAAAATTCTCTTGATGTCCTCTTACGATTGAGGTGTATTCAACAATTTGCAAAGTCTATATGCTGTGCTGATACTCTGAATGAACTACCCAGTCATGCTTACAGAGTTGGAGGTATATGCTTTGTTGCCAAATTTTAATAGTAGCATCATTTAATAAACTTGTGTTATCTTGTCCTCTTTTTCCCTTCCACAGCTTCTTTTCTTTTTATGTCGTCCTTCTTTTGCAAGTGTACCTTAGTGCTTTATGCTTAACATTTTGCTGCTCAAGTTCCCTTTAGTTGCTTTGTATTTTATTCTCTCAGAGTTGAGGATGTACCTATCACTGGTTGAACTGTTCTTTTTCCTTTTTCAGGTTCATTAAGTTTTTGTTTTTCTTGTGCTCTATTTCTATTTGATCCTCTCCTTCTGGGCAGGTCCGAGTTAATCTCTTAATAGCGTATGATTATACTGAAGCTCGTCAAGGAATCATAAATCTTCAGGATTAATAAAATAATAAGGGCATGTGTGTAGTAGCCAACTGGTCCACCTCTTCTTTTTCTTCTTCTTCAGGAATATGTGGACTTGTCCCTTTTTTGTGACATTGTATTTCACCTCCAATTTTTTTTCATAGTCTTCCTCTTCTTTCTATAGAGTATAGAGTTTGTCAGTTTTTGGGCTAACTTTCTCTCAACTGCTTTAGTATGCTGGGGGTCTGAACAGTCCTCATGGAAACAACCGCTCTACTATGGGGTAGAAGTAAGGTTTGCGTACATCTTATACTCTAGACCCTACCTTCGGGTGGGATATATTGGGTTTGTTTGGTTTGGTTTTTTTTTTTTTAATTTTTTAATTTTTGTTTGATGTAGAACTCTTGATGTTGAATGTCTAAAAAATGATCCGATAGGTATTTATTTTTCTTTGAATAATCTGTGTATCTTGTACATGACTATTTCTGATGCTTTGACTATTTGTTTAATGCATTCAGGGAGTTTTTTGTTGCTGACTGTTATAAGCATTATGGTGCTTATTTGTCACCAAGGATGATACACTGTTGTGTAGATGTTCCGTGTCTTGTCTATCACCTAACTTGCCACTTCAACTGCATTATTGATTATACAAGTTTTAGTGAATCATCTCTAAGAGAATAATACTATCACTTGATCCAGGCTACGTGTTTTGTGGAATTAATCGTATCCATGTTGTTCTTTTTCTTTCCAGAAAACATGATGTCCGTATTGGAAAATGTTGATATGGGCATACAATTCCCTGATGTTCAATTTTGGACAATGGCATCCTATCCTGTCCTTGCATGTGATGGTTTTTCGACTTTGATGTGGATCCTCTTCTGTCTTCCAGTCCCATTTATGTCCTCTGAGAGATCATTCTTACCTCTTGTTCATATGTGCTATGTTGTCTCCATAACTCAGGTTGATATAGCAACCTCTTTGTCATTTTATCTATTTCTTCTTTGTTTCAGGTCATCTATTTGCTAAGGTTTTGTTTCTTCTCTAATTTCTATCTTGCAGGCCGTAATAACATATTCTGGGAAAAACGAATGCGGTATGGACGATCTCAGTTACCATGATTCTCTTATCACTGACATTTTAAAATTTGTGGGTGAACGTGGATTCTTACGTCAGTATTTTATTTCCAACTATACTGATGATTCTCGTGATATCAAGGCAACAATTCGTAGCCTTAGCTTTCCTTTCTTACGAAGGTGTGCACTACTGTGGAAATTAATGAACTCTTCAACTTTAGCACCATTTAGTGGGGCTCATGTGTTTCATAGATCATCACAAACATTTGAAGATAGAATGGATTATGCATATGGCACCGGGGAAGAGTCTGTTGAAATTGATGAGTTGGAGAAGATGTTTAAGATTCCCCCACTAGACAACATAGTTAATGATGAGGTTTCACGTTCTTCGGTTTTAAAATGGTTACATCACCTTGCTAGAGAATTTGAAGTTCGTACTCCTTCAGGGGTTTTATACTCAACCCCTGTAGTCCCATTCAAGTTGATGATTTTGCCTTACCTCTACCAAGATCTCTTGCAAAGGTTCTTATTATTCTTATAAATATTGTCTAACTTCCATTGTGACTTTGATTTCTTGAAGAGGTTTGTATTATTCTGTATTTTCAGGTACATAAAACAGAAGTGTATCGACTGTGGATCTGTTCAGGATGAACCTGCATTATGCTTGTTATGTGGTAAATTGTGCTCACCAAGCTGGAAGACATGCTGCAGGTTTGTCTTCTGCTTATTTAATAATTTCGTTAGATTCCTATTCTGAATATGAAATAGAACTTGACGTGAGTTGTTCTTTAGGAATAACAAGTGCCAAACTCATGCTATGACTTGTGGTGCTGGTACTGGCGTATTTCTGTTGATTAGGGTAAGTCTCACCAAATGGATATCATGTTACTTTGCTTCATCTAACATATTTATATTTTTCTGCATACTTGTGAAAGTCACAAGCGCATCTAAAATGCTTATTATTACGTTAGTGGATAGGGGTCCTGCAACTAAATCTAGTCTCGAAAGTTTAGTTTGCCTCACGTGTGATTTTACTTGCATATGGAGAATCATATATCTATGCATGAACTGGAAAGCATGCAATTTGCATCTACAATGTGAATGGGGAATTGCAATTTCTGCAATTATGTCTGCAATTATTTCTTGATTTAAACATTGCATTCTGATATGTGATGCTGAAATTTGTGTGTAGAAAACTACAATATTACTTCAAAGATCTGCACGTCAGGCACGTTGGCCATCTCCTTACCTGGATGCATTTGGTGAAGAGGTAACACAAAGTTCTGTTGTTGGTGTTCTTTTAAGAAATTTATGGTATATATTTTTTGCAATTTCTGTCATTGAGCTGGCTGTGGAAAAAAGCATTAAAAATAAACAAATTAGATCTACAGCTTATTGAATTACCAATTATATGAGAAATAAGCATGTGTGACTGGACTTGTGGATTTTTTACTTTATTTGAAGGTTTTAGTTGTATTATAGCTGCAATTAGGTTATTTATACCGTGAAGAGTAGGTTATTTGTGTGACATCATAACAAGGTATGGTGGATGTTGCTTTCTGATATCCAGAAGTACCGAGTATGCCGAGCATTGTTACCCTGCATGGTTGGGGCAGATATGCATGCCATATTGTAAGAAGCCGTGTCATTTGGGGGGGGGGGGGTTAAGCTTTGTCAGTATACTACACATATCTAGTACCTTTGTCTTATGCTATTATATATGTGTGTGTGTGTATATATATATATTCAAAAACATGTACATTTGTATATGTGTACACACATAAATACACACACATGTATAACACACACACATAATACACAGATGCATGTGCACAAACACACATATGCATCTATATATATTCATCTATGCATTTATGTATTGTCTACCTATTTATACATGCATATATATGTGTGTGTGTGTGCCACTTAAGTATATGTGTATACTATGTTCATTTACTATATATATACACACCCACACAACATGCACACATGTATACTTTTTAGGACGGGGAGAGGTCATCGAGAACTATTAGACTTCAACAATATAGGTGATAGAAAGGCTTATTGTCACTTCCCGCAAGAAGGTTCCCCAGGTGGTCGGATTTTCTTAGACCATTCGAGATCTTGGTGGAACCTCAAACAGTCAAGAAAGACCAAGCATGTTTTAGAAGACTCTTCATCTTTCAGGGTTTATGTCTCTTGATTGTTCTGTGTAAACATTTAGTTAGAATGAATGTTCTAGACTTGTATATAGAGGCCTATAAATGGATGATAGTCGTTTGTAAAGCACTGAAAAGACGTAAGAGTCTATTAGGTTCTCCCCGCTCTCTCTGGAGTTCTTGTTTGTTCATTTTGCTTGGTGTTCCGGAGTTTGGCTGCCTTAGTATGAGTACCAAGGGCCGCACAAGAGCTTGTGGAGACAACTTCTTGACATTATGGTCTGCTGAGGTTGGTAACGATCTGTTAATGTGCAAGACCTTGGAAATGTTTGCGGTCACTCTAATGGAAAGGGTCTGATACCTAAGTTTTCGGCTTTCCAAGGTATCAGACACGCTATTCTTTGCAGTGGTTTGTAAGAGAGCTAGTTTTTTTCGATTCCAGAACTTGGTTTGATATCATCGAAGTGTCTAGTGTAATTTTTTTTATCTTGCTGAAGGAGAAATTCATGTGTATATATGAGACTGAAGCAAAGTGTTAATAGCTTTTTTGCATGTTTTAGATTATTTTTGTAAATGGATACCGTGTAAAGTTTTGTATTAATAAATCCCATTGTATATACTTTTGCAGGACATTGAAATGCATAGGGGGAAGCCATTATATTTGAATGAGGAACGCTATGCGGCTTTAAGTCACATGGTATCACCAATTCCCATTCCCACTTATTCCATTTTCTTGACATAACTTATACTTGTGTGGTCTTTTCATAATTGGGTACACTTTTTCGAGACTTTGAAGTCTGGGGCCATTGATGATTTCGTCTAGTAGAAATGATGAATTCCTCCAAAGCTTAAAAGTTATATGCTCTAGTTGGTGAAATAATTGAATATTATATATCATTGCCATCTATAGTTTACAACTTCCTGTATTTTAATCTTTTATGATTCCTCAAGTATTAACAGACAACCCATCGTGTCCATTTATGCTTATTCCTAGTTTGCAATATTGATAATATTCTTGCTAGGTGGCTTCTCATGGACTTGATCGGAGTTCGAAAGTGCTGCATCAAACATCAATCGGTGCTTTTCTAATGCTTTAGATTGGAATTTTCGTAGATGAGCTCTACTGGAGGTCTGTTGCTCACACTCTGTTCTTGTAGCTTGTTTTTTCTATAGCTTCCTCCTGGTACAAAGTTCATGATTGCTAAAAAGGGTTACGCCACCTGGGGGCTTTACCGGGGATAACTAATAAAAGGCCCAGAGCTGGGACAAGTTTTGACATGACATTAAACAGGGATAGGACATTGACTGGCAGAAGGAGGTCCCACCAAAATAGGTGGAACAAAAATACGGGAGATTGATAAATTACTAAACTACCCATGTCAAATTAAAACCATAGAACCACTCACAATTCTTTTACCTATTTACTCTTGCCTGCCAAGTCCAATCCCATCTTGTTCCAAACGCACCCTCATAACTCTCAATCATGGGATCTAGCTTAGGATTCACAGTAGGCTGACGGAAGATAAGAAGCTGTAGTTTATTGAGCTATGTTCCATACAGATTTATCTGGAACTGTTTGTTCTGGATCTGATCTTGTGGTGGTTTGACATTTCATATGCTTACATCCCCAACTTTTCTTTCCCTATCATAACCGACTTGTATAATTTGTTCCCTTTCGTACTGCCAACAATCAAAATTCGATCTATTTTGTCATCCTACACTTCCCTGGTTAAGAGTATCGACTATTATGCTGAGAATAACTTTTCTCAGGCTGTAGAAACATATTTGTTGAATTTAAAATCATTTCCACACTGATACCATTTGTAACATCCCCGGCAAACCGTACCAGATATTGTCCGTTTTGTCCACATCTGGACTCACGATTTTAAACGCATCTAATAAGGCAACCTTTGTTCCCCCTCCCAACCGATGCAGTATCTCACAATCCACCCCCTCAAGGAGCCCAACTTCCTCAGTGGCACACTAGTCCAGCTCCCGTCTTTTAACTTTGACCCCGGTGTCCGAGCATTTCTACAGGTGTACAACAAAACATTTGATGCATATCATTTGCATGCATATTTCATAACTTTTTGCAACACATATATCAACAATGTATCTTGATTTTTAAATGCATGAGTAGCTGTCATGAAAACAACTTGGTGTGCTAGATTCAAGATTATTGTTTTATTTGGTTGAGATGATTATGATTTGATGTAATTGGTTTTTCTATTGTGGGCAGAGGAGTGGTGGATGTGGTCGGAAGGAGGGATTTTCGTCATGCGAAAGACCAAATTATGGCGTCGTTGAAGTGGATTCTCAGCCTCCTAAATCTTATCTGTACAGTTATTGTAAATAACTATGAAAACTTATGCTCAAAATCATTATGCTTTAACTGCGAGAAACAATATATGGCGACGACATCTCTGGTTGTATAAATATTCGCCAAATTTCGGTATTTATCCCTATATCTCGGGGTACTTTTCTGCTTTCTCTGTTTAGTTATAACATTGAACCACCACTGTCGATGACCAAATCGACCATCGAGATGCTGGCCAGTACGTTTATGCATTGGATTATCCACGAAAGATGCACATGTGAATGACGCATCAAATGATATCAACCATAGAGATGGAAAACTTATGCTTCCAATGCATATTAACTTACCAACTTCCACCACATACTGAAAAAAATAGTAATAGCATTTTTAATGTAATAATAATAATAATAATAATAATAATATGATATATGTATTTATTATTATACTATTAATCTATATATGATTACAAATAAAATATCAGTTTTGATTATAGAGGCCTACTTTATTGACGTCTAAATATAGAGTCGTCGGGACTGACGGAGCTCGAACCTGCAACATCAGCCTTGATAGGGCAGTGCTCTTACCTATTGAACTACAATCCTAGGAGAATCAGGAACCAATAACGCGTAAACCATGTCAAACCAAGACCGATCAATATAAACATTTCTTACCTCCATTTTTTTAGTGTCTTAGTGTAGAGTTGGAGAAGATAATCATCATATTTTGCAAATAAATATGAAAACGACAATACCAACATATAAAACCATCAAGTTTATCGCATTTGATTTAAATTCGTTTTTTTTTTCCTTATTAAGAAAATCGTTGGACCATCCAAATTGGTCAAACCAAGTTAAATCGAACTGTTTTTGACGGGTTAAGTAGTCTGGTCTGTGGTTTAAATGTTTCTTTGAGTTGTCTGAACCGAACCGACCGTCAAAAAAACACATATTTAATTATATTTAATTTCTATGTTATAGATTCGACTATATAGCACACTTAAAAAAAGTCCGTCCAAAATGTTATGTTTTTAGTTTTCATTTCTCAATTGACCGTGTCATCAAAATTGAAAAAAATCATATTTCCTTCAAAAATCAAATCCAAAATTTCAAATCGTCATTCGACTTGCTCAATATTTGTTTAAAATTCCAACTATTGTTAATGGATTTGTTTTACCTTTTTTTGACTTGCTCAATATTTTTTTAGTTATAGAGATAGATGTAGGGTATCCTATTTTTAATAATGTTATACTGGTAGAAATTTCATTTTAAATATAGATGTTATGTTTTTTTTTTGAGTTAAAACCCCATAAAAGACCAAACAGCTTAAACCGATCAGACCAGATCACCTTTTTTGTGGTATGATTTGACCAGTTTGGAAAATTTTCTAAACCGCCATTGCAATTTGGTTTATGGTTTGAGGGGTTAAACCGCCTAAATCGGACCACGAACACCCTAATATTAAGTTGAGGTGTAAGGTCCATACATAGCTTCATAGATCGTTTTCTTAACAGAAAAAGGTGCATGTGTATACATACACAACCAATACGACACACTTAATAACCAAGAAAAGATAAATCTCTTATGATACATCAGATCAGAAGAAAAGACAAATTTTTTATGATACATATCAGATCAGAAAATATATATCTAAGAACGTAAATATGGTATAATATACTATTTTATATTCTTTTATGACAAATCATTAATAATATATCACCATAATAAAACAAAATCAAAATATGCTTTTTATTGTCAAATTTATAAGGAAATTTTGAAAAATAAAATCAAAACATATAAGCCAAGATGGTTAATACATTATCTTTTTTGGGGTTATAGCATTTTTTTTTAATGTGTGCAACTGAAATACTGAGTATTATAAATAGCTAGTTGTTAGTTCTGAGTTACAAAATTGTACGTTTGTTTGCACCTTGTATATAAAATTCATCCCCAAGAATGACATCTCATCCTCTAAACGAAAGTTTATTAAGCTCTACGCGATGGAAGAAACGATCGTGTGTTCTTGATTTGAATGAATCGGTATACCATGCAACTTTTAGTATTTTCAACATATGTTGTATCAGCATTGGATATATATGCGTTTGCATATGCATATGCATATATATATATATATATATATATATATGTGTGTGTGTGTGTGTGTGTGTGTGTGTGTGTGTGTGTGTGTAGACGAAAGATCGTGTGAGAAAGAGAGTTAAGGTGAAAAGCGTAGTAAGAAGGGAACTGGACCCTTGGTCATCTTTAAGCTCAAACCCACCACTGAATCACGCTTGATACAGGGATTGATGCGTTGCATCTCATCCTAATGTGCATCTAAGGGTAGAGATCCCTTCTTACGCTTCTCACCTTAACTTTTCTTCTCATCGAAATCCAATCTTGTATGTATAATATGTTATATGTATATAACTAAGTTAATTTTATGTTTTAGCCTCCATCAATATCAAATGAGAACGCGGATAAATTCAATGAAAATACGATTCCTATAATTTCTACCATTTGTTCACATGGACTAAAAGCTAGTCTCAACATGTTTGAGGTATGTTACTTATATCTCAATAACTAATTATATATAGATATCTAGACGCATAATTATCTACATATTCAATAAAATCGTATAAACTTACAAAATTTTAGTTCTTGGTTGTTTCACATATAAAACAACACATGTGAAAATGCAGTGTTTATACAATGTTGTTTCCTCTGTGTTGTTTATGAAACAACTCATGAAAATTGGTTTTTTAAGTTTGTACGAGAACTGGGTTTGCAAAGAAATGGAACTATATGTATGTATGTATGTATGTATGTATGTATGTATGTATGTATGTATACATATACATACACATAATATACATGTAAGAATGTTGTTATGATTGATTGATTTGATTATATGGTAAACAAGGAAGCACTTGCAAGTGTCCCATTATCATTCAAAAGGCAGGAGACTTCAAAGAGTATCTTGGTTCTTGAGAGAGTAAGCATCCTTTACATTCATTTTATATTTATTTGATTTTTGAGTATTAATTAAAACCCTTTTATTTTCGACATTCGGACCATAGAAAATGTTGTTAAAATTACATGAAAAAATATGACGTAAAAGCGAGAACTATTTTCATCAAGAAAGATACAAGAACTATAGGGACTGAATTGCTGATCATTCTTTGAAAAGAGATATTGGATCGAAAACTTCAGTTATTTATAAACTACGTACATAATTATGTTTACGTTTGTTAAAAAGTGTTGAAGATTGTATTGGTATTTGATGATGAATATATAATAGGGGATATTGAGATTGGTACAACATCCAATTCATGATGAACCACAAGGAATGCATAAAAGAGGCCTAAGAACATCATGGACTGTTCATTATGTTGATGGACACTTTGAACTTCCAACTCGTTGTCTCAATTATATCCTCATCAGGGATAAGGTAATATTTCTTAATCTTCTACTTCCAACATACATACATACATACATACATACATACATACATACATACATACATACATACATACATACATACATACATGCATATATATATATATAGGAGGTTTACTTTGCAAACCACGTTATTTGTACAAACCGTACAAAGCTCATTCAACCAATCATAATTTTTCATTTTTTTTTTGTAATTATAAAAGGTTGATTAATCATTTTTATTGTGTAGAGTGTTAATTATGAATATTATCATCTTCATTATTTTTAATTTTAGAGAAATACATTAAACAGTTTCATTAAAATTTCATTAACTATTATATGAAACAATTTCATAACCATATATGAAACAACTTCATCAAAAAAGGTATTATATGAAACAATTTCATGAATTTTTTCCATAAGATTAAACAATGAAATCGATGGATGAAGGTGGTTTGCACGGTTTGTATAAATTGGGTGGTTCTCATTTGATCGCTCCTCTCTCTCTCTCTCTCTCTCTCTCTATATATATATATATATATGCACACACACACTTATGTATATAATATTTTCGTTTTCTTTGTATTTTTATCAATCAGTATTAATCGTTAATGGATGGTTATAACTTTAAAGATGGTATCTAAGTTTTTGTTTATTTTATTCGCATGAAAGGGTATTTTAGGTATTTGATAAATGATCAAATATTTTTATTAAGTTATATCTCAAATAAGAAGTCAAGTTCTTTTAAAACGAATGAAATGTAAATTGTGTGGTTAAATTTATGGGTTTCTTTGTCAACAGTWGTCAAGATTAATTGGTAAAAGGCTCCCAAATGTCGAGACTCAAAGCTGTCATTTATCCGTGCATAATCGACTAGATGGATGGAGAGTCGAGACCAGAAAACGGCCCGACAAAACCCATGACAAGGTTCAATCCTCAAACTAAAAACGTTGTGATTTTTCGATAACTCATATGATTTGGAAAAAAAATAGTTAATTACTTCAATAATTACTCAGAATTGAATACAATATTATTTGGGAATTTTTAAAAAATTATAGATGATTTATTACCGTTGAATCTTTATCTTAATTTACAGTTTTCTTAATTATGTCGTATTAAGAAGCATTTCAGATAACTTTTTATCTGCTAAAAGATTCTCATTATAAATCCAGTAAAACTTTACATTTTTTATTCAACATAGAATTGCATACTGTTATGTACCTATAAATATAATCGTGACATATGCAAATGTTTGCTATATATTTAGCTGATTGAAACTGGTTCGATGCAGTTTTACCATCATAAATCATCTGAACGAATGTTTCGATCATTGGTTGAAGTCGAGAAGTTCATCAAATACGAGATATACCCGCCTAAACCACGGCGACTCAACAAAAAGTGCACCAAAACCACGATGGTGAGAAACATGTAATGTAAGTATCAATGTTACTGTTTGAAGTTCGGAAGAGAAAAAACAAAGGTGATGAAGAATTTTGATTTAATTTGTCGGTAAATAAATTAATAATTGATTTACGATTCAAAAATTCATTCGGGTTTTTCCAATTTTGTACTAAAATTAGTTTTTGGTATGGATTTTGTCGATGTGAATATAGAAATTTTTACATTTTTTAAGGCGTTAAGAAGAAGCAGATGCAAGATTGTCTGAGAGTGGTATGTCATATAAATACTTATGGTAATATAAAAATTTAAA